CAGGTTAAATGATCTGTGGTGTCTGTTTTCAAGGCTCTAATGGGATTTGCACATCCAGAACATGAGATTTAGCGGCAGGATGTTGTCCCRAAAAAATGGCGACTGACCTTTCCCAAGGAAAATCACCAAGGCCTTTCAAATACCAAGGTATTTTCCCAAATTCCTAGATCTGGAAGGGCTTCTGCTCTAGGCCCGCTCGCGTCCTCCAATGAAGTGCAGGCTGGTGCATGAATAGCAAATATTTAACAGAAAAGTTGCTTTAAAATATTTATTCTATAATTGGGTTGAACAGCCTCTGCTCTCTGATTTAATCAACTATTTTATCCCCGTTTCGGGCTGCAGGTAATAGACTGAAGTGAATGTTCTGTATCACTCTTGCATTATTCATGGCCTGTTGTCTTTGTGCTCATCTCGGGAGAAAAATGACCTCTGTTTTCAAGAGTTAAATTTGATTTATTCTTTCTTCAGCCTGTGTGATATTTCAGCAAATTGTGGGCAGAATTGGAAAAACAATTTCTTTAAGGAAAGAAAAAGCGCAGKATTTCATTGATCGCGCATCCGCTGATGCATCAAAATGATAACATCCATTTGGGGGAATTGGACAAAGAATTTATAACTGAGGGTTTCGGGTTATCTTGCATGAAATCTTTTATTTTATTTTATTTTATTCCCCCCCCCCCTCCCCCTGCCTACTGGCACTATTAGAAACCCCAGTTTTTAATCTTATTTTGATGATTCATGAGCTCTTGGTACTCTACAGAGGTATCCTGAGTGCAGACGTTACACACTGTATTTTTTGGGAGTGCAGCTGACTTGAAAACTTTCTGACTCTGCTCTTTATCCCTCTTTTACCCAATTTTGTGCCAAAATATTTTAAGTGTATTAAATATACTAGGGTATTTTTGTGTCATCTTTTCTGGTCTCCATGAGCACCCAAATTGCAGTTAGGCAGAATTTAATTTTTTTTTGCCCAGGAATACGATGCTACCGAACGCAGGGATTTGGTGCAGAGGGCCGGCGGTTTTGCTTGGCTGATGAATTAAGGCCAGTAATTGTTGCAATATCTGCTGCTATCAGCCTAATATTGGTGCTCTGAGGTCAAGTCAACAAAGCAAATGTTGAAAAGCCTCTTTGGAGCTGGATTTAGTCCCCCGCTGTGCCASGTAACCTGCTTTTAAGTCAACCCAAGTAACCGTCTGCAAGCTGCTATAGCAGGAGAGAGGTGAATTTTAAGAAAGCTGATGGGGAGAGAATAGGAAGGGATTGAAGGAARATGATAATGTTGTTATGTCCAGCCTGGGGCCTGCCTGGAGGGAGACTCTTGTGGCTTTATCTGTATTGCTGCAAAGTCTGGAATCTGTGACTGGAATTTGTGCCACTGGCAAGGAACAGCRAGGGATGCAAGCTGGCATTTGGGCAAGGGTTTCCCCAAGGGAGAAGAGGGCTCCTCTGATGCTCTGGAAACCGATCTGGCCACGATGAAGTGTTGAAGGGCCCTTTACCCCTTACCTAGCTGTTGATTTGGGGGTCCTTGCAGGAATCTCGAGGCGGAGCGGGTGGGAAAACCCTTCCCGGAACGTCGCCAGCTGGAGAAAGGTCTCGGTGCGAGAGCCTCCCTTTGCATTCCCTCCCATTAGGCTGTTCCCAAATGCACCCGGGCATTTATTCAGGGTTTGTCTCCTCGTGTAATAAACACATAGAGCAGCATTTCCAAGCCAAGCCGATGCCACATTCCTGGCGTGTAAAGTTCTCCCTAAAATGGGAGCCTTGGTTGGCACCTGGGAATGACGGACGCGACGCGTCGCCTCCTGAGTTACTTAATACCGCAATTAGGCTCAGCTTAACTCCCTCATCTCCCTAAAGTACTGTTGCCAAAGGGAGAGGCTGAGACTGCTCCAAGTCGTGTGGAGGGGGTTTTGTGTCTGACAGGAGAGGGGAGCAGGGCCCCGGGATTCCCTGTCCCTGCCACCCGCGCAGTTGGACGCAGAGCCCATCCAAGCCCTTACGACCTCAGCTTATTCCATCCCACGTGTTTTCCAAGGTATTGGCTTTGAACTATAGGGAAGTTATATAGAAATCATGTTACCTTTGGAATTGCTTGGTTTTAAAATGCTTTTTAAAGCATTTAACCTTTGAAAAAGGTTGTTTTCCTGCAGCCAGAACCGACATGGAAATGATGCGCCTTTCCAATGGCTAACGCGTCTTGGCCACYATATGGAGAAATCCCAAGGCTCGTTCTGGCTTGTTTTAGGCTATTAGGATCAGTTCAGGAGTGCTCAGGCCTAGAGGAGGACTTAGGCTTGAGCAGGGCTGCTCCCGGGCGCGTTGCTTTGCGCAGAACGGCCGCTCTTGGTGCTCCCGTTTAATTTCCCCATGAAAGATGATTCAATTTTCATTAAGCGGCCGAAATGCTCGGTGCAAACGAGAATTGCAAAGGTGTCTCTGACAGCTTGTGTAATTCAGAGCAAGATGCTAAATTGCTGRCTTCTAGGCTGCCAAGCGCCTATCAAAATATATTAAACCTGGTTTAATTGGGTTGGCGAAGATTTAAGGGAGCAGCCTTGCCAAAAAACTCCCTTCCCTTCTATTCTAAATGCCCCTGTCCCTAAAAACATCTCRTTCCCCTGGGTTATTGCTGCTTAAAGGGGATCCTTGCTCTTCCAGAGCTTTATTTCCAAAGCTTCTCAGTCTCTGACTGTCACTTAAGCCTCGTCTTCCCGGTGCTGTTTTACTCCTGAAGCTGCCACAGTTTCCATGGGAAACGTTCTTCGGCGGGGAGATGGAAAAAGCCACTGCAAAAGTGCTGTTGGGCTGAAACAATCCAGGAAAAAATAGATGAAAATCTTCCCAAAGGCTTCCTCACCACACGCCTGATAGAGAACTAGCACAAAATAGTAGCTTAAATAAATAAAAAAAAAAAAAAAAAAGAGAGAAAACGGTGACCTGTTCTTAAAAGTCCTGTTTAGGCTTCAGGCTTAAGTAAGCGCCCCTGCTCTCGTTGCACTTTATTAGGACGTCAATAAAGATCTGCTGCTCCTGCGAATTACTGCCTTCCAGTTGCATTTAACTTCTTCCGTGTGAAAGGCAGCCCGGTGCTCCGTTAACATTGGTATAAGCACAGGCAATGAGTCCGTCYGGGTTGTTTTGGCCCGTGCTCTCCTACCTTGATGAAATGATGCTCTTTTTGTGGCTTAAATATTCACATAATTTTGAATTTTTCCTCTATGCAGATTCCTCTTTTTTTAAGCTCCCTTTGCAGCCACCAGAAGCAGAGCCCCGAACACCCATAAATTGCCAGGGAATGTGAGTGATTTAGCGGAGTTGCACAGCACCAACAGGCAAGGCAGGTAATACATCTAAGAGAAGAATGTCAGGCATCTGCTCTTAATCAAATCCCTATTTTTTTCTTCCCCAGTGCTTGGGATAAGAAATGCATAGGGCAAGTGCAAGGATTGGCTTCAAGGTGCTCATCTCACCTGGCAGCTGGTGGCTGCAAGTTGAGTGCATGGAGAAAAGCAGCTTCCCAGGCTGCATTTTCCAAGCTTTGACATTCCTTACGGGAGAAACTTGGCCGATACTAGTTAAGTGCAAGTGTTAATTGGCTCTCCCAAGCTAGCCCATAAAGCCTGTGTTTGGCAGAGGGAATCTTTGGTCCGAAGCAGCTGAGATCCAGCTGTTCCTCTTCAAGAGTAGCAAGCGAGGTTTCTAAGTGAGATTTCCTCAGTTTTGAGCTTATTTTCCTGGAAAAGAGGTTGGATTAGGCTCAACTCCAGCACATGCCGAGACGGAAGGAATTTCCTTGCCCCGTGGAAACGTTATAGCGAACACTGGGTATGTCAGTGACGTTTGCYTAACTGCAGCCCTTGCTGTTCTCCCTGCAGGAGAAAAGCGGGATGGGAGATAAAACACRGCTCTAACAAGGGGAAGGGATGAGCGCAGGGTTTAAATTAAGCTCTAGGGACCCAAAAATGAGGGAAACACTGGGGATTTTGTTGTTCTGGCTGCCCTCCCTTTGCGAACTGGCCGGCTGAAGGGCTGAGTGGTGCAGTGAAGAACCCTGAAATGATGAGAGGAAAATGAAAATCCTCCAACTGTTCAAGCCAGGGTTCGAGACTCGCTTGATTTGAGAAGAGAGGTAACCTTTGAGTAATGAATTATTTGGAAACTGGTGCTAGGAATGCGGCTCGGCTTTGTCTTGGTGCTCAGATGTCAAAACTAGGCTTAAATGCATAATGGTCTTCTGGTTTCCTAGCTTTTTGGGAGCAAAGGCATGAAATTCCTATTTTTTTTTTCCAGAAACTCTAAGGGCTATAATAAAGAAATGGAATTTAAACCRTCCTGCTGCAATAAAGGGGAATATTTGAATAGGAAAAGCGTGATCTGGCACCACAAAGCGAAGGAAATATTCCAGTCCTGCATGACTCGTAAAATCCTTCTAAAATCTAGAAGTTGCTCGGGATGTGAGAGACGGTTGTAGGTCCTGTGCCCCCTGAAAGGGGGTTCCTCCCTTCTGGGGCTGTAGTTGGGCTGGTGAGGTGGTTTCTTTCCCCCAACAGTCGCACTTGCTACCAGCAGCTTCGCCTTCCTCTCCCTGTTGTGAGAAAATTCCCTAAGTCACCAGAGAAAACCCAGGGGAGGGAGCCACTTATCCCAGAATTTCCCATCCTTTTCACCACCTTGGGAATCTGCTGCTCCACGTCGCTCCCGCCTTGGCGTCCGCGTAGAGCTTGTTCTGAAAAATGCTTATGTTCGTGGCTTCAATATATCATATATACGTTTAAATGTGTATTTATCCTGCAAAAGAAGAGAGAAATCACAGCTTCCCACGCGCTCCTTCTCCTTAAAGGGAGCGGTGAACTCGGCCGGGGCCCAGGCGGCCGCCGAAGATGCTGTTTGTCCGGGGCCTCCTCTCGCTGCCGCGCAGGGTGGGACGGGGCAGGATTCCCACACGGAAACGGGCCTCAACGTTTGTGTCTGTGCTGTGCTTGGCCTTTCCCTAGGTGCCTCCGAGGCTTTCTCCTTGGCAGAGCCTGCGCGTGGTCTACTGCAGCACGGTGGTGCCCTCTGACGGTGAGTGCCGCCCCTTGGGGAGCGAGCGCGGGCTCCCCTCGGGCTTCGCCCGCTGACATCCTGCTCCCCAAAGTGGGGTCTCCTCCTGTAGGCGGCCGCGGGCGAGAATCGGGTGCGTTTTGTTCCCTCGTTTAAATCCTGGGAGAAATCGGGTGCGTTTTGTTCCCTYGCTTAAATCCTAGGGACGTTGAGCGTCTTGGATAGCCCCAGGCGCSCTGCCGAGGTAGGTGGAACTGCCAAACTTTCCCTCAAAAAAGAGGAAAAGTCCGGAGGGAAAAGGAGCAGCTCTGAGGGTGGAACAGACGCAGGGACACGAGCACCAAGTGGCTGCTCCTGCTCGCCCCGCCGGGGCTCGTTAGCAAAGCTGCGCGCTAACGAAGCCCGCGGCTGCTTCCCCAACAGCCCCACACAAACGCTGAAACAAACCCCAGGGGGCTGAAATCGGTGGCAGTGGAGATGAATGCGGGACTGAGGGGGTGATGCGAGCRCGCAGACGCTGCCTGACCTGATTTACCTCTTCTGACGCGATGCCCGAATGTTTCCCTTGTTACTTTTTCTAATAACTGCCTTCAGCAGCGGTAAAAGCTCAATCCTGATTTCCTTGGCCACCCTGTGCTTTTAACTGCACGTTGTTTTGGCCTTAGGTCATTCTGAAACCCTTATGCAAGGAAAAAGGAAGCGTTGGAGAATGCTAGGGATGTGTTACTGGCTCACAGGTGGCTGAGCTCTGTGGTGCATGGATGACACTCCACCCTGGGGCAACTTCATGCTTTATAAAATGTGTAAAGCTCGAAAATCTTCATTTAGTGGCGAGTTGCAAGTGGCTGTAAATGCAATACACTTGTGCTCCGCTGCTTTTCTTGACATTCGAGTTTTGGGCAACCCTTACTGCAGTCATAACTTTATTTTTCTAACTATGAGCTATTCCCTCTCCRGTGCAGTAAGAACATGAGCAGGCACCGCTCGTGTGCGAGGTGGAAGGAGCCTCCAAGTGGGATTATGACCTCCCCTGCCACTGAGTCTTAGTTTAGAGGGGATAACTAGTCCAAAAATCATTCAAGGAGAATGTAACAGCCATAATTCCAGAATCACTGAACTCGGCCTCCTAAAGCAAAGAAATAGGCTGTAACCCTTCACCTAAGCCATAAATCCCTGGAAAAAAGGTTTCACCTTCTTACCCAGTGCTGAATACTTCAGGTATGGACCCACCTATCATTTTTTTCCCACCTGCATCTGGTCCCYACAAGATTAAAATGTGACAAAGACACAAAGACACTTGCTGTCTTGCAGCACAGGGGGGATGAGCAGGAAAAGGTTGGTGTAAACACTATATTTTAGTAATTTGACGTTTTTTGCCTATTTTGCAGTACAATGAAGTGGCATAGTAGCATTTTAAATTAAAGAAAAAAAAAGGATTTCCTGTGGACTGAGTTCTCTACTTGCAGTGAATTTTGAATTTCATATTCAAGATTTTTACAGTGAATACTGAAGTGCATATTGTGTATGTTATTCCCAGAACCAATAAATTTAATACTTAACTGCCTCTTTTCAACTTCCAAACATGTAAATCCCTCCTCCTGAGCTGCTTTCTCAGGTAGAAAATTCCCTATCCAGTGTTAATGCTAATGTATTTCTTAGCAGTCTTTTGCACAAATACTTGGGGGGAAGAAAGCAAAATCTGATAGCTCATGTCAAAACAGCTGCTGATCAGGAGCTTGAATTTCTGGTTAGCTGTCCAAATAAACCGACAATTCACGTATTTTTTTCCAGTAAATACCTGACTGTAGTCTGAATTTTAAGCTTTAAAGCACTGAAGCGACTGAAATCCTGTGAGGTGTCTGCTTCTTGAGGAGAAGGTTTGGATAGGATTCAAAATACGGGAGCTTCTTGGGAGGCTTTGGTCATTTCAGATGTCACATGAGTCATACGTGTCTCTGCTGCCCCCCCAGAGCTCCTCAGCCCCACCAGTTTTGATGTGAGCTGCTCCCATGGACGGACCGTGTCCCTGTGTCTCTTAAACCAGGGCATGGAGCAGAGCTGCATCAGGTGGGACTAGCCAGGCAGCTGCCCCATGGGTGGTGGCCACATAACCCCCAAAGAGCTGGCAAATGCTCTGTGCACCCAAAAGATCTTAGGTGTTTTAGATGAGAAAAATGCACAGCAGCCCAAAGGGGACYGTTCTAGGTGTATGCAGCGCTATTTTAGCTCCAGCATTTAGGGAGTTTTGATGGTGACTCAGAGCAGAGAGCTTCACTTTTGTTCCTATCTTCCTATCTGTGAATAGCCTAAAGCGCGCAGCGTGTGCAGGTAGTGAGATAATAATTAGCTTCCAGCTCATATAAGTCACTATAATAATAAATTTTAGTGAGGTGAGCTGGAATTGCAGCCTTACAGATCMTCTCCAGACACCCTTTTTCTAGTCCAACCTCCTGCTCAAAGCAGGTTCCCCAGGACAGGACAGGGGTTGGCTGTCGAATATCTCTAGAGCTGGAGCCTCTCTAGGCAACCTGCTACACCCACACAAGTCTATTTTTAAGTGAGATCTCTTACATTTCCATGCGTGCCCCTTGACTCTTGTCCTGTCACTGAGAAGTATGGCTCTATACCTGTGCTCCATCCTGCTCTCCCCACCAAAAATCAGGTGTTTCCATGCTCATGTCCCCTCCCTACACACACATCTTCTCCAGAGAGGTGTCCCAAGGTCTTCTCAACAGCTCTAGTAATCCAAATTTGCTGGCTCGTGTCCTAGTCCATGTCTTGCACCACCCCTGCCCTGTTGCTCTCCGGGTAGCCACCCTGCAGCAAGTCCTGGCCCCCACTTAAGAACTTACTTGAAAACCCTTCTGCCAGCCCTCAGGCAACGCAAAGGCTTCTTTTCTCTATGCCTAGGAAGCATCTGTCTTCTGAAGTGCAAAGCATATTGATCCCGTGCATTTTGGATAGCATGACCTTGGAGTTTAAACTCAGCGAGTGCTGTCCCTGCAGCCCTGGGMTCCTGCCTGCTCTCTTACAGATGTCTTGCCCCTGTGTAACTAAGGAGAAGTCCAAATGAAGCACAAATACAAGTGTTTGAAGGCTCTCTCTCCTGGAGGTCTCCTAGTGTGTGGTCTGCTTCTGTCTTTGGGGCTGTAAATCTGTAAACTGTGCAGCGTTGTGTGCTCCAGAGCCCAAAATAACTTCAGTTCCCCCAGAAAAGAGCAAATCTCTTGATGTTAGAAGACCCAACATGGAACCAATGTTTTAAAATCCCTATGTTGCATTCAGCTAACTGTGCTTGTCTCCACGGGGCGACTGCGGAAGCGTTCCAGGAGAGCCTATAATGTTTTTAAGGGTAACCTGCGTGTCTGCGTCTCTCCTAGAGGTGACGGTGGTTTATCAGAACGGGCTGCCTGTCATTTCCGTGAGCCTTCCCTCCCGGCGGGAGCGCTGCCAGTTCACCCTGAAGCCCATCTCGGACTCGGTCGGCGTCTTCCTGCAGCAGCTGCAGGCGGAGGACCGGGGCATCGATCGCGTTGCCATCTACTCGGCAGGTACTGCTGCGCGGGGACTCGCTGCTCTCCTCCTCTGCCAGCTCGTTTTGGGCAGCTTTTAACTTCCTAAGTGAGGGCTCGTAACCGAGTGAATCCTTGGACACTCTGGGGGAAAAAAAAGAAGCGTCAGTTTTGGGATATTCTGTTAGATGTGTGCACTCATTGAAGTTGGCTGAGGAAATATTTGAGTGTATTATTGAGTGAATAGAGAGGAAGCAATTCCTAGTGCTTTAGGTGAAGGTTCTCTGACAGCACAAGACGTGATCTTCATTATTTCTCCCCTTAAGTCCAAATGACTTGGAAATACTGAGCAGGAGCACAGTAGCCCACGCTGCAGCACGTCTGATTGTGGGAATACAGCAGCCCAGGAGCACTGCAGAGCTCAACAAGCTTTCAGCAGAGACTGGTGCTCGAGGTTCTGAAGATTGCAACTAGTCACGTAGAGTTGATGCTCAGAATGCCAATTACTGCTACAGACGATTGGCAAACCTATGTTCAGTATGTGAATGAAGTTATAAATTGCTTTTAACTGTCTGTGCCCAGACCTTCGTAACATCAACCACTCTTACTCAATTTAGGATTGTTAAAATTGACGTGGAGGTCTTGGACAAGTGCTTCCTCCTGTTTAACCTATGTGGAGATTCCTAGCAATTGATAAGGAACTGGGTCTAAAGAGTCAGACAGGGGAAAGAGTGTTTTCCTTGGCCATTGAAACTCAGTTGCATTTCACTTAAAACCATCCTGTTTGTGTCTRACTCAAGTGCTAGCACCAAGGCACTGAAACATTGGGCTGACTTAAGAGAGTGACGTGAGGAGAGAGATGTCATGGAAGGCCTTGGCCTGGGAAGGAGGCCACGTCAAAGCTGTCAGAGGCAAGGGAGGGRAAAGAGACCTCTCTAATGCTAGTACAGAGAGGTGAAAGGCACTAAAGTGAATTGTGCTGCAGGGTGAAGTTAAATATTCAAATATCTCATGATAGGGTGAAGGACACTTATTTTTATAAAACATTCCCTCCACTCTTCCTCCCTCCCACCCCAAAACCCCACGTTTTTAGAAAAGCAGCTGCATCCATTGGCCTAGCTAGTTTGCTCTGCGTCATCTCTTAATCCATACAACAAGCTTTACAAAGAGCATTGTCAATAAAAAACAGTCCTACAGCTAGATCAGGGATACTGCTGCAACGGGCTTAGCACGAGCGCGGCCTGCTCAGATGCTTCGTTTGTGCTTCCTAGTGAGTTGTGCTGTGTTTGCTTTGCAGATGGCACCCGTGTCGCCTCCTCCACGGGCATAGACCTGCTTCTGCTGGATGACTTCAAACTGATCATCAATGATGTCACATATCTCGTTAGACCACCAAAGAGAGGTAAATCCACCCGGCTCCGGTAACACCTTTCAGGATTTGCTTGACTGTAACTGCAGTGTGCTTTACTGACCTGTAAAAGAACATTTCATGTTCTAAAAGAGTCAATCTTGCAGCTCCTCATCCTGCCCTTGCAGCATAACATCCTTATATCTATTCTTATAGAGCAGGCAGTGCTGAAAAACAAATACCCATTTTGTTCAGGGCCAGTCTCGCTCATAAGAGGGATAAAAGAAGAAGTGGTGGAGGGAAACCCATATAACATTTGGGGCCATAACCCATATAACATTTTTATCTCATTGTGCAGGAGCTGAGTATGRGCAAAAATCAGGTTGGTTTGGAAGAAAAAATCCTTCCCCTAGTCTGAAAGGAGGGGTATTTATTTTCTTTAAGCATGGTACTTCATTGCAAACAAGCCTTGAAAGCCTCCTGGCTGAGAAGCAGTGAAATTACTGACAGTGCTCTTACAAAGTCGCATTGCTAAGAAGCAAATAGGAAAGGAGACCAGCCTATTTGGRATTAATAGTGAAATCATTTAAAATAGTTGGCTTCAGCAACTTATGTAACTTCTAAGTCTAAAAACTTGCAAGAATATCTGGAGACACTTACTGAAAGAGGCAGAAAGTTAATATTTTCATCTTTCCCCTACCCTTTTTCATAGGGAGCTGTGAGGTTGAATGAAATTAGAGGTTCTTGCATGGACTTGTTTAATTTTATTTTAACCCTGTAGTCAAGCAAGCAAAATAGGACAGGTTTCTGACCTGAGACCATCGCACCGTGTCCGACTGAGTTTAGATGGTGGGAATACCTTCCCCTATGTATCTGGATGTTTTACTTATGTATTTGGATTTTCTCTTCTGCTTCTCTCTTCAAGGAGCTGTTTATAGACAAAATCATTCGTAGGGCAGAAGCTGGCAGGGAGCTGTCAATATCCCGTTTTATTTGAGCAGCTCAAATAAGTCAACATGTTGAAGGAGGTTGATCTATCAAATAACAAAACAGACTCTGAGGATTTATTTGGAGACTAAGCCCACGTCGAGTGGCTTTTAGGAAGTTCTGCTGATAGGTGCTGTTTTCCTGGTAGGACTGTTGGCTTCCAAGGACCCTTTTGCCGGGAGAATAATCAAGTTATAAAAGCTTTTCAGCATTTTATTGGTCACAGTGTTTCTCCACTAACGATGGCTTTTGCAATCAGTTTAGGAGTATTTTAACAGAAAACTCTCCATGAGGAGATTTTTCTTCCCAGCCAATTTAAAGGTGCTTAGTTTAAGACAGGGGACAGAACGTGCTTCTCTTACTGGGTCCTTTGGCACTGACAGCTGAATTATTTCTTTCTCTTATTAGGCTGCTGATAGTAGAACTCAAGCCGTCCACAGCTTTTCATTGATCAGAACTTCTCCATTTATCCCTTGAGCATTGCAAGCCAAGACTGGCTTCCCCTGGAAGTTGGGTGCTGTGGTTTTCCTACATCAGTTCTGCTTTCTGTGCTGATAAAATGATGTTTAGAGAAGATAAATTAAGTTGCAGGTTCAAGGAAACTGCAAAGAATTAACAAGTTTTCTCATTAGACTGTTGTGTTTTGGGGACCACCAACACCAGATCCTTGTCTGCTGTCTTCAGGAACTGCAGTTGCTCGGGGACTACAGTTTGTTTCAGTTCTGGCTGCTTCTGACAGCTGCTGTGTTGTGTCGTGCTAGTTTAGCTGTTCCTTTGTCTTCATTGTCTTTTGTATAAAAATGCAGCTGTTAACTGGCCAACTACTAGTATTTAGCTTTTTTTTTCTTGCTTTTATTAATTTGTAGGCATAAAGCCTGGTTTTCTTTGGCAGAAGTTGCATTGTCTTAAGAGTGTGGGAGCTCCCCCAAAGTCTTTYGTGTTTAAAAGTTTTCACACCTTTCCTGTGCAACGTGATACCACTTTCTGATGAATCTGTAAGGAGCTGTGTGGATCAGCACATGTAAAGCAGCCTCTTTCTTTCCTAGAGCTCTTAAGCCATGAAGATGCAACCACGCTGAATGATGTCAAGACGTTGGTTCAGCAGTTGTACACGGCCCTGTGCATCGAGGAGCACCAGCTGAACAAGGAGAAGGAGCTAATAGGGAGGCTAGAGGAACTGAAGGAGCAACTAGCACCATTAGAAAAAGTGAGAAGTCTCATTTTATTTTGCTTATCCTCCAGATGCCAGATTAATTTATTTTGAGGCTTTAATTAGATCCCTTCAAATGATTTTAAGATCAGTGGAGCAGAATTTGGCACTGAATCTGTACCAAGATGCATCTCTTTCTGCAGAAACCTTGTGTAGCTGGGAATGAACTTGGTGACAAATAGACTGCCACTAATGCAACAAAACATCCCTGCAAACACAGAAATAGGCACCTTTGCTAAGTGTCTAGAATATACTGAGTGTAATAAAGAAAGATGATGYGAGATACTGACAGAAAAGAAATCTAGGAATGTCTATGTAACCTGGAATCAGGTCATGCATCTCAAATGACTTAGGATTTTATAGATAGAGAGCATTTTTTTKTTATGTTTTAGTAACAATATCAATATAAAACTTTTCTAAGCATACAAGGCACATGTTTCTTCTTTTCCTGCAGGTCAGGATGGAGCTGAGCAGGAAAGCAGAGAAGAGGACGACCTTGGTTTTATGGGGAGGGCTGGCCTACATGGCCACTCAGTTCGGGATCCTCGCCCGCCTCACGTGGTGGGAATATTCTTGGGACATTATGGAACCAGTCACCTATTTCATCACCTATGGTAGTGCCATGGCAATGTATGCTTATTTCGTAATGACTCGCCAGGTAGGACGTTGTGCTGACGTTGACACTTACAGAAGGCTTKATTTGGGCTTTTTGTAGAAAAAGACACAACCTGTACAGATGGCAGAGCTGGGTGCCCCTTGATGTAATTTTTGCTATGCAAAGAGGGGGATCTTGGTGGGGTTTTTGGTGGTGGTCACTACAGATTTCCTGATAGACCTATCTTGTTTGCACTGCAGTTACGTTGTGCTCTACTCAGTCCCTATAACCCATGGGCACAAGAGCCATCTTCTGAGTTTCAAGGAAACACACGTCTCTGTAGGAGACAGAGATCTCCAAAGAGACAAAAAATGCTCATGAAACATGTAGCAATTGCTTCTCCTTAGTTGTGCTGTGGATTTAGCCTCTTATCCAGATATAACATCCATACATCCAATGCTGTTGTACGCAAACATCCAAATACATCTGCTTGGATGCTTTCCCCTCGGTACGATCCCAGATCTATTGACTCTCTGGTCAAGTCTTTGAAAACTAGCCCTGCTTCAGTGGTGGGAAATCTATTCAAAATAGAGCTGTGCTTCTCTGAGCCCTCACAGTAGTGACAGATTCTTGGCAGGGTTTAGCACACTGTTTATTTTACCACTCCTTCACAATCCCATCCCAGCCATGAGGACGGAATGGCTCGGAAGGTCTCAGACCACCAGGATAGATTCTGATTGCTCATATACAACTGTTGTTGCTTTAATTAGCTGTTATGTTTAACAAACTCATTCTGTTTTTTTTTTTTTTTTTTTAAGAAGCAAGTTAATAACACGGGGATGTAAAAGAATGATTAATATTTTAGAGTGTAGTGGGGTTCTGTTGTTGTTGAACTGCCAACTGTGGGTGTTTTAGAGCCCTGGAATGTGTTAGTTTCTGTTCTTCATGCAGAGAAAGGTGCCCACGTTCAGGTCAGGAGAAGAGCTACTGTAACTCGCCATCAAAATTCAGGAATGTGCCAGAGGGAGGAGCAAATACCTGACTGAGCTCAGGCAATGCTGTCTAGTCTTGTGTCTCAGGTGGCAGATACCAGTTCTACTCCCCAAATCGTATCTGATAATAGGGGTGAAAGCTATTCCTGTGTGGAGGTGCTTTATTCATGTCTTTTCCTTTTTTATTTCTAGGAGTATGCTTATCCAGATGCCAGAGACAGACAGTACTTATTATTTTTCCATAAAGGAGCCAAAAAGACACGATTTGATCTAGAGAAATACAATCAACTCAAGAATGCAATTGCTCAGGTAATGAGAATTTTTCCAGAACTAAAAAGACTCGCTGCTTTTGTCGCTGCTGTGAACAGATGAACTTCGAACAAGAATGAATGTCTTAAGTTTTCAGCCTAATTTTCTTGTCACAGCCCCAGTGCAATCACTGCACTGGCTTTAATCAGCCCAGGAATGGAATTGCTGGATACATAAATCAACATCAGACAGTTGCCTGTATCTATCCATAAGAGTCTCTTAGAAACTGCTGGCAAATCCTGAGTCACTTGAAGCACTTAAACCCCAGAGGGACCTAGTTCAAGATTTCCCTTCTTCTTGACTCCTACACACCAGATGGGTCAAGTAAGGAATGAAGATTTGCATCCACTGGGTTCACATCCCCCCGACATAACTGTACTTGAGTACACTGGACCTGCACACTTGGAAAATCTGGAATGTTTCCCTTCTAAAAAGCAAGGGAGATGAGGAGCCCGTGGTCTTATGGGGGGATTATGTCTTCCCTGCTATTTTCCTTTCCCTTTGTTGCATTCACAGAGTGCAGCTCTTCCCCTTGGTAGATCTCACATCTCACTTTCATCTCTAGTTTTTTTTGGCTCTGCTGCAGACGTTTGCAGCGTTTTGAGGTCTTAGTGGTTGAATGCAGAGCAGCTGGGAGAGGTGCAGAGCCAAGATCTTGCAGGAAGTGCTGGAAATGGATATCCTAGTATTTCAGCTTATTTTTATGCACTTCCCTCTTGGATAGAAGCAAGGAAGTACAAAAAGGCTCTCTGTTCTCTACAGGGGCRTGGGATTGGAGATGCATGGGGTTCAGGGAGCCTGGTCTTTATAGTGTATCTTTTGCTTTTAGGCAGAATTGGACCTTAAGAGGCTTCGAGACCCGCTGCAGGTTCACCTGCCCATCCAGCAAATTGATGAAAAGGACTGATCAGCCAAGAAGCTCTGAACCCCGGCAAAAAACCTGTTCATAGCTCTTGCCTTTTTAATTAAAGCGTTGCAGGTGGAAGCTGGGAGGTGGCGTGGGGGTGGAGGGTTTTTACCTTTAATCAAGACAAAGGACTGTAAAGGGAGGGAAATTCCTTTAAATCCGAAGCTGGGACATTGTGGAATGCTAGTTCTGAAAAGGGCTTGGCAGAAAAAAAGTCGTGTTTTAAAACTGTCTGGATGACAATTGTGTACAAATACAGGATTGGGGCGGGGGGGTCATGGAAGGAATGTAATGCTGGGGTAGGGGTGTCGTCTTCTTCCAGCTTTGCAGGGTCTGCCTCTTGATAAGACACCAGCAGCCTGCTTAGCTTTTTAAATTTTCCTTTACCTGATTCAGATCTCTTCTCTTTCTCTCTCCAAAAAAAAAAAAAAAAAGAAAAAGACAAAAAAGAAAAGGAAAACACAGAATTCCAGCCACCTGGAGCCATGGCCGGTGATCAGAACTTGCGCTCCCTCACCATTAACTCACACACTTCTGATCAGACCTGGTCTCTTTTATAAAGTTGCTGCGAGGCTGCTTTCTACTGGAAAACCGTGAGCTTCCCCTCCCCAGCCCACCCTCTGTGCTCCACTGACTTCCTCCTTTGCTTATCTGTAGCACACGATTGATTGTAGCCATGTGAGAGAAGGAACCAGTTTTGTTCCGGACGTTTGAAAATTGATATTTGGGATTATTCCTTAAATGTAGAAACTTTGAGTCCCAGTGCTCTTGAGCTCCTTCTAGAAATCAATGGCAGCATTGCATGAGAGTTTTTATATTCAGTCTTAAGGGAGGGAGATTCCCTCTTCCCTCCCCAAATCTGATAGCCACCTGGACTATGAAATTATGAAGGCTTAAGGATTATGGAACTGGCTCAGAATCATGACTTCTGCTTAACCAAACAGGTTTGGAACATGGAATAACTATCCTTGATATTTGACTGCTCGYGTAACAGGATGAAGTCTGCCTCGCGCTCTGAATGTTTTCCTGTTCTGAGCCTTTGGGAAAGCCCGAGGCCTCCTTTGGTGCAAAACAGCACGATTTCGGTTCACTAGCACTTTCCCCTCCCCACGTAGCTTTAGGTGAACTCTGCACCCACAGGTCAGGATTTCTTAGGGATAACACCCCTTGTTCTTAGCCAAAAGAAATAGAGGAAGGGAAGTCACCCCGTTGCCCTCTCTGCTAGCAGAGACGGGCTGATTCCTAAGCAGATAAAACACCTCTTGATTGGAAGTGGGTCAGGCTCCTTTTTTTTAGCATCCTGCTGCTATAAATGCTGTGGAGGCGCAGGCTGGAGGTAGGAGAAGGACACTAAGCTCCTCTACAGAAGAGCTGGCTGCTTTTTTTGACGTTTCGTTACTACTCCTCACTGTGTCATGGCAAGAGGCTTCCATTTTTTTTTTTTTTTTTTTTGGAGAACCATGTCTGAACCGTGTTTAGTTTTTCATGTCTGAAAAACTAAAGAAAAAGGGAGAAAAAAATCAGTATTAACCAGATGCCAGGTGCCTTGCAGATGTGGAAACACAGCTGGGATTGCTGCCTCTTCTCACTCAATGGCATGTTGGACTGAATGGGTGCATGTTTCTAGTTTTTTCCCCCTCCCCTTTTCCTCTGTCTTTCAATTTAATTACATTGTGTGATTATTTTTTATCTGTTTTATCCTGTTTGTGTGATGAGTTTTAAAGGGGAAAAAAAGGGGGGAAAAAAAAAGAGAGAACACAATCCTGTAGCTGAATCCTCAGTGCGTGTTTGGGATGAGGGAGGGAGCATGGAGAAAAGTCCTTCTTAAAAAAAGAAAAAAAAATACTGAACATGTGTAAAAATCCTGTATCATTTATGAAATATGTATAAAAGAGCGATGTACTTCTGGAACAATAAATGACTATTCAATTTTTGAACCTGTGCCCTTGAATAACGTTATTTCCCCCAGCTGAGGGAGATGATTGCCCGTGTGGCAGCTCCCTCCTGAGTTTGCYTCGTGTTTCTCTTTCTTCAGGTTCTTTCTTCCTGACCTGGCATCCCTGAGGCCGTGGTGGTGCAGATAATAGCGCTCCTGAAGAAGCTTGGATGGAGATTTCACTGCCTTGCACAGGGAGCTCGGGAGCAGTCGAGGTGCTGAGGTAGCTGTAGAGTCATTGGGTCTGCCACAGGTCCACCCTTGTTGAGTAGCGTAAAAGCCAACAAAACCTGGAGCCACGTGGCAGGTTGCAGGTATACTGGGGTGTAAAATAGCCAGCAACCTCAGACCAACCACATGCTGTCAAAGTATTTCAGTTAAGATGCTCTATGCTGTGAGAAAAATGGAAGTTTTAAGACTTTTCTCCTGTGAGGCTCTTGAATGACTGTGGTCTGGTCTGTCCTGAATCTTTCATCTATCAAGGCTGGAAATCAGCAGAGGGATTGCTGATTTTTTTTTTGCTTACTTTGCCCTAAGCTTATAGGGCATTAGCACGAGACGTTAGATGCTGGGAGACTTTTATCATGATACATATTGATTGTGAAATCTGTTATTGGGTGGTTTTCTGTCACTATTGGCCAGGCTTCTTTGGGGATTTTACTCCAGAGGGGAGGGTTGGAAGGTGCTAGTCATAGCAGCCTACCTTTAATCACTGTTGAAACRTGGTTCAAACCTAAATCAAAAGCCTTTTCCTCCGAGCAGCTGCCAGGCTGCTGCCCTTTGCAGGTGAGCTAGACCCACTGCTTGGAGCAATGATGTAAAAACCAGCCCAAATTGGCCTCCARAAGAACTCCAGACATTGACACCTGCCAGTGAAACACTCTGAAAGCAGAAAACGCAGCAATGAAGCGGTGCCTGCATGTGCCTTGCTGCTATTTTAGAGCAGAGGTGGTGAAAGGAGGAGCAAAGTAAGTCTATAAACATCTCTGAGTTGCACTTTGAGCAGGCAAGAATCTTTGCAGCACTCGGTTCTTGCAGGCAGCAGCACCGTGTGTTGCACTGTTCTGATCTCCTGTTTTCTTCCTACCAATTTCAATCTCCCTGAGCTTAACCTCTCTTCCCTCCCTTTATGCCAGGGAGCTTTCCCATAAATACATATAGAATGTGTAATTATCCAGAGAAATTCATTAGGAACTGCACATCTGAAGTGCTGTTTTTGCAGTGCTCTCTGCCACACTATGTGCCTCTGTTTTCTCAGAAGCTTTTTCATAAATATATTTGTCTACCTGTAGAGATTCCAATTATTCCCCTTAAGTGTGATGAGTTTTATTTCTGGACTGGCACTTAAGGGRTGAGAATTGGGATGTGGAAATGAAAATTAAGCTTGCTGTGTCCTGAAGGATTGGAGGAGTTGKTGCTAGAGTGTGGAATTTTGGCTCTATAGCCTTGCAAGAGATGGGCTCTGCTCTTGTTCCTGCCACTCACTGGCCTTGCAATAACAGTGCCTTGTGCCTTGATTTCTCCATCTGCAAATTGAGGATCACGGAAAAATACTGGATTCTGCAGGACCTCTAGAAAAACACRCTCAAATTTGGCATCCCGGGGCTCCTGTAAGTGCCAGGAGATGGTAACATGGAACAAGGCTCCCGTGAGCTGTTAACATGCTCTTGATTTTCAAGCTTTCCATCTCGTTAGACGCGCTCGTGTGTCTCCCAAACGCCCTTYGCTGATCCTGGCGGCCCTTCCCAGCGGCTCCGGCTCCTGGGACCGGCTCTTTGCCGACGCCAGGGCTATCTGGGCGTCCTTGACACCCTCCCCATCCATCTGGGCGGCCTGTCAGGGCTCATTGTGAAGCCGCATCCTCCGGCCCGTCACCTTCTCACGGCCCACGGCGGCGGCGAGCGCTGATTAGCAGCCCTTCCGCCTGCCCCTTCCAGAGCGGCTGCCGACGCTCCGGCCTTTCCTCACACGCTCCCATCGACCTGCTGCAGCAAAAAGGGGTTTAATCCCTCATCTGTTATTAACCAAGAGGGCCCCACAACGTCCAGGATGATCCCCTGGGCTTGAGGTTTCCACCTCTGGAGAGGGCGGAGGTGGGACCTGAGGCACCGTGTGGAGAAAAGGGCTGGTAGAAGAGCTGCCCGTGGGGGATGTTCTCRTGTGGGCCGTGTCTTTGTTAGGGATCCCAGGGATGCTTTGAGGGGCACACTGCGTCCGTAGTGGCTTTGGGCTTTTTCCTTCRACTGGAGAATCAGGAAGTGTCAATTTTGGGGCATCTTGGGGCCTCTCTTTCTTAGTCCTTCTTGGAGATCCTGATGGGAGCTGCTGTGAGACCTTTGGAGCTGGGTAAAAGGGGTTAGGACGCAGTTTATTTAGTTTATTAGGACKCAGTTTATTTAGTTTATTAGGAGGCAGTTTATTGCTGTGCGTTACCAGCTGTCAGTCACTTTGGCAGACATGCCTGCCAAAGCAGTACTAAGGCTAGACCTAAAGCACCACCTACAGAAACAAAACCAGCTGGTAGCAAAGCAGCCAGAGCCCTCCAGCACAGAGAGGAGGCTCCGTTCAAACCTGTCATTTTTATTTCCCCAAGATCCTAAGTATGAATCAACTTCTGAACAAAAATAGCAAGCGACAACTTCCTGTGGCTCGCTGGATTATTTCGTGTTCAATTTGAGTTTCTCTTCTGGGAACTGATATAATCACCTCTGAGCGTTATCTGCCCTGCTAGCTCTGCCTGTAATGAATTTGTTCTCCTTTCCTGTTGCTATTAAAAAAAAAAGAGCGGCCGGAGCTGCGCGGTTGTCAGCACAGCRTGACCACAGAGATCTCGTTTGTTGGTAGGAGCAATGACAGATCTTTGCAGAGCTCCTTTCATCCTTCTCTGATGTTGTTCTCCACAASAAAGGAGAAAGGCTCCACTGCTGGGTGTCTTGGTATGTGTTGCTGTCCAGCACAATGCTTAGAGGTTTCGAATCTTTCCAATTTCCCTCAAAGCAAATTGTTGTATTTTGGGGGGATCTTGAGGGCTGCACAGGCCGCAGCAGGAAAACTTCCTTATTAGACTTCTCAGTGAGTGACCAGCAGGGGACAGGGTCTCTATCCAACCTGGGAACAGTGTTTTTCCCAGCGGGACACCAGTCCTTCACTTTGACTGATGTGCCCATTGTAGCACAGCTCGAGTCACAATCTGTGCTCAGAAGCCCCGCTTCTCTGGCCACTATTTCCTGTAGTTAAGGCTCCTGAGCTGGTGTTTTGTGCTGGGGGGGAAGCCGTGAAGTCCTATGACTTGTGGAAGGAGCAGAGATAACGAGCACCAATCTGGTCTCCTCTATCCCCCCGGGATGTCCGGGTGTCCCCTGCTTGGAATCCTTCTCCGGATAAGATAGTGGAGGTGTCACTGTGGGGCAGCCCGGCAAGAAAACAATAGCGGGTCGAGTCCACAAACAAAATCGATCAGGAGGAACATCCCTGTTGTCAGTGAGGGGCAGAGCCGCTGGGAGGAGGTCAAGGCTGGGCCTGTACCCCTCATTCCTTCAGCTTTTCCTCTGATAAACCTGCAGGAGAACTACCACAGTGCCGGGCAGAAGCTTCCCTGCCACGAGGGCTGCAAGAGCCGCAGCGTTTGCCAGGCGTTTCCAGCCTGATCCTTGCGGAGCAGCCGTTCCGTGCCCGAGTGGGATGTTCCAGTACTTGTTTCTCTCTGCCTTCTTCCTTGCCCAGTTGCAGCCGGCGTCTTCGATGGGTGAGTAAAGAGGCGTCGCCTTCCCGCTTATTGCTGGTCACCACCGTTGAGGAACGTGCTTAGGTGAAAACCTGGCATGCCAGGTAAACGTGACGGTGCAAAATTCCTCCCACTTGGAAGAGCATTCCTGTTGCAGAACCCGTGTTGCAGGAATCCCTGCTGCCAAGGTCCTTAAAGCACCGGGGATTTTCCTCTCCCCTAGCAGAGGAAACTCCTGGCATTTTTTCACCCCCATACTTGGCAAATTTCCACCCGATTCAGGGCCATGATGCAGTGCTGCTGATTTTATTGCTTGTGCTGCTAAGAGCAGAGCCCTGCAGGGACACGATCCTTAGAGGATTAACCTTTCTGCAGAACGGCAGCCTTGTAAATACTTTAATATTAGAGTCTGATCCGTTATCCACTGTTTGTGTTAAAGTGTCGGCCACAGAAGATGCGCTCCCCCCTTCCCTGCAAGGCCTTATTTTAGCTCTTGCCAGGCCGCTCTACCTCTGTCTCAGCAAATATTGCTTTTAAATTATCTCCTGTGCGTTTAGGAGGCAGGAAAATCCCCCTGGATGAGCATTTGCAGGCTCTGTTCGCAGAAGGGAACAGCACAGAAGTCAAATACACGGCATGGATGCCAGCAAGAGTGTTTTGCCCAGCTGGGAACCTGCCGGGGCTTCCTTGCTTTGCCTCATTGGGCATTTAATGCCAAAAAAMCCCTTTTAATCTTTAATGTGTGGCAAATAAAAGCCAAACTGAATCACCTTGTGGCAAGCAAGCGAGGGCAGCCTCAAGGAAGCTTTGCAGCTGTGAGCAAAGCGCCCATCTCCTCCTGTCCCAGAGGTGAAGGAACCCTTTGGAGGATGGGGTTCAACAGCGTCGAGGGGAGGCAAGAAAGGCAGGTCAGGTAGCCAGGAATAACCAAAGAAAAGKAGCCAAGAATGAGGGTTTCACTGGGGTCTCTCTACAGCTCCCTTTGCCCTTCAGCAGAGCCAGCGACTGCTTCTGGTGGGAGTAAATCTGCTTCTCAGCACACCTCATGAATTACGGTGCTGGAGGTTTCCCTCATAACGCAGCCCTGCTCGCTCTCTGCCAGCCTGCAGCTCTGCAGCGCTCTCGTGTCTCCGGCAGCTCCCGCTCACGCTGCCCTCGAGGCCAAAGGCAACATAGCCGTGGCCAAGGCTGGTGTGAGGATGTTTGCCAGGAGAGATGGCCTCTTTTGGAGGTGCCAGGTCGCAGGTGTTTGCAGAAGGAGCTTCATAAGGTTCCCTTGAAATCCTCTCCACAAAACACTTGGTTCCCAAGGCAGTGCAGCACATCAAAGTACCCGCCTGCATGTGGAGAGTCTGGCTGGAGACGATGCAACGTCTGCTTTTTCCCCACGCTGCATCACCTCGTTGCTTAAACAGCACAAATGTAGGGAGTAATTCTGGAACTTAGAGAAATGGAGCACAGAGAGTGCAATGTGCCAGTCCCCAGCCTGGTGAGATGCATTTAATTAGAGTGATCGCTTTTATTAGCTTAATTCCAGCAAATGGCAATCAATTTTCCTTCCTCGAGGCAGGATTAGCGTTCATTTTGCTTAATAGGGAGTAGCTAGTCGTAGGTAAGTGGTGCTTAATCAGGTATTAAACRTACACAAATACGTAACCTCTTGACTTTTAGTGAGGAAGCTGCCAATTGTGAGAAGGCTGAATAGGTAACGAACGCTTTAATTCCTCTTTTTTTTCTCCCTGTGGTGGTGTCCCAAGTTTTAACTACTTGCAAGGGGCTTCAGAGAGGAACGTCTCTGCTGGAGTCGGGCTGCTGGGCTCTGTTCTGCCCCAGTTCAGGGCAATTCTTGAGCCTGCCTGCTTGAGACTGTGTCCTGAAACCAAGAGGAGCTAAGAACGATGCTTACAGTTACGTGAGGCTGTAATGACCGTAACCAAAACGCTCTTTTCCTTTAGGAAAATTCCTGCTGTGCTTCTTGCAGTTCCCATCTTGGCTGCTCCTTTGCGGATGCAGCAACTACGAGAGCTGGGCTGAGCTTGGGGGTGAATTTTAGAGAGGCTGCAGAGGTGTCTGAGCTGACTCCTCCAGGGCAGAAATCCCCTGTGACCTGGGAACAGGCTTGCTTCGCACCCGGTTGGTGTCCCAGGCTTCATCTAGTGCTCCCAGTACACATTTCCCATGGCAAAATGCCACCCTGGAATTCAGGTTTGCTTATATATATTCTTATATTGTGCTGTACAGCAACATAAGAGCAAGTCAGACTTGCTTAGTGTTATGAGCTTGCTTAGTTTGCTTATTCTTCCAAGACGTTTAAGCCAAGCTGTCAGAATTTTCCATGAGGCAATTAGTTTAGCTGCTCCCCATCTTCCCCCCCCGGGCTCCCTATCAAAAAGACTGTGAAAACAGCAATGGAARAATATTTTGCGTTTCTTGCGGTCCTGGGCTTGCTGTTTACCAGATGTTCCCTGTCGCCCCGTGCCCAGCTCTGGACCCCTGCTCCGCCTACATCAGCCTCAACGAGCCCTGGCGCAACACGGAGCACCGCATCAACGGCTCGCACGGGCAGCCCGCCTGCGACAGCCACGTGGCCGGCGAGTGGTACCGCTTCACGGGCATGGCCGGCGACGCCATGCCCACCTTCTGCATCGCCGAGAACCACTGCGGCACCCACGCGCCCATCTGGCTCAACGGGAGCCACCCGCGCCAGGCCGACGGCGTCGTGGCGCGCCAGGCGTGCGCCAGCTTCAACGGCGACTGCTGCCTCTGGAACAGCACCGTGGAGGTCAAGGCCTGCCCCGGCGGCTACTACGTGTACCGCCTGGCCAAGCCCAGCGTCTGCTTCCACGCCTACTGCGGACGTAAGGAGCTGCTCGGGGCCCTTCGCTGGAGCCACGCGCCCGTGCGGAGCTCGCCCAGGGCCCGGCTGCCTRGTGTTAAGTGAATCTGCTCGCTGTCCAGCTGCCCGGGGTCTGGCCGTAAGGGCTTAGAGTTCACCAGGGCCCTCTCGTTGCCCTTGGCTTTCAGCCAAAGCTGGAGTTTGCGTCCGTGCCTTGCGGTGCGGGCGGGTGGTTTCTGATCAGCTTCAGTTTAGCCTCCCTAACATGAGCTGGGTCTATGAGTGCCAGGCAGGCTACAAGACCTAAAGCTGGTGCTACACGTGCGGTAGCATCAGTGCGTTGTGCTGACAGCCTTCTTGTCGTGCCCTAGATTTCTATGACATCTGCGACGTGGTGGATTGCCAGGGCTCCTGCTTGGACACCGGCGACTGCGTTTGTTCCCCGGGGACGACGCTGGGACCTGATGGACAGACCTGTCTTGGTAAGGACAGAAATAGGTCGAGTCAGTCGCTGTGGCTTTACTTCCCTGTTGTTTTCTGGCTCCCATCTTAATCTACTGTCTTAAAAAGCAGAATAAGGAAGGAGAAACCTGCATGAACCTCCTCACGCCCTTGAAATAGCATCAGTTTTGTTCTGCAACGGTGCCTTCCCCTTCTTTTCTCCTCTCTGACTCCCATTTTGCCTGCAGACAGAGAGGAAATCAGGTTGAAGAATGAGAATCTGGGAGAACAAAGTGCSTTTCAAAAGGTGTCGAGGAACTTCMACCTTTAAAACAGAGAAAATTAAGGAGAATGTTCTGAGCTTTACCAAGAGATTCAAAAGCCTCTTCTCTCCTTCCTTTCTCTCCCAATAAATCCTGTCGACAGCCTGGAGGGCTCTAATGTAGACTTGGATGCAGCCAGCCCAGGAACATGATGCAGGTTCTGTTCATGGCTTTATGAGGACTCACTTTAGGCCTGTTTCAAGGCTATTCCAAACCTCTTCCAAACCCGCCTCCTTTTACCACCCAGTGATATCAGGTTAACTCCTCTAGCTCTTTGCGAGTAAAGCGAGGAGCTTCAGATGAGAAGGTAAATTGAAATGTGGGCTCCCTCAGCACATGGAGTCCGTATGGGAGTTTCCCTGCAGGACTGTGTCCATCCTCCCCCTGGAGTGTCTGCTGGTGCCATTCCACATGCTGGTTTTCCCTCAGGTCTCCTGAGGTATGGCAGGATTCTCTGCTAGCCCTGGGAAATTGCAAACATTTAGTGCAATAACAAATCTCTTACCCACACACGGGTCACAAGGCCAGGAAAACTACTCCATGGCTTGCACTCCCATCCCGTTTTCCCAGCCACGTGGTCCCCAGGAGCTTACCAGGGATACCCTGTGGGCTTTTCTTTTGCAGATGACAACGAGTGCGAGCAGGGCAACGGAGGCTGCAGCGAGCTGTGCGTCAACCTGAAGAACTCCTACCGCTGCGAGTGCGGCATCGGGCGCACGCTGGCGCGCGACGGCAAAGCCTGCGAGGGTGAGCGGGAAGGAGGGGGGCAGAGGTGCCCCGGGCCGCTGGAAATGGGATAAATCCCTCCCCATCCCTCGCAGAGCTGCTTCCCTCTTGACTTGTTGGCCTCCCTGCCTCGTTCCCGACTCTCGGCCTTGCTGGAATAGTCTGAGGGAAGGGGGAGTTAGTCTGGGAGCTGACACTTGACTTAGGATGAGGGCTGCGTTTGGACTTTTTCTGTTACATCTCGTAATACCCCTTTTAATTTCCTCTCCAGTAAAAGGGATGGTGCTTTTCCTCCATTTAATGCTCCTCTTGGGGATTTTTAAATCTCATTAGTAGCTCTTATTTCTAAAGATCCACCCCCATCTTTGCAAGCCATGAGAGTTTGGGATTTACTTGCGGATCCACCTCACCGCTGTCACCTAGGGGAGCAAAGGCTGGAGATTTTCTTGATTGCACCATGATGATGATTAGCGATTACACTTGGAGCTGGTGACGCTAAGTAGGGTTAAAATTATCTCCACAATTTCCCTTAGAATGTTTTACCTCTCCCTTTGGCTCACATGGAGTGTGCTGGCTGCTGCTTTCCATGCTGAGCTATAGGGCTGAGTGTGGGGTTTCCGTTGTTTTCTTTGCACTGCACTGAAAGCACACAGTTATTTCTGGTGTCGGGCTCAGGGAGAAATGTTCTGTCTTTATGATTTGTGTAGGTTATGTTTACAGCTGTTTTGCAGAGAGCATCAGGCARTATTCATCCCAGATGACTAAAAAAATCAAGCCTTGAAGATTATTAAAAAAGAAAAACATAATATTTCCTTCCTTATATTCTTTGCAATAGAAAGTAAACAACAAATGGTAATAGACTTATTTGCCCTAGGTTTTCAAATTTTAAATACACAATTGGAGGGTGTTTTGGAGCTCTTTCCTGCAAATGGAGCAAATGTGTTTTCTTGGGGTAGAAATTCTGGGAAATCATGTCCTCTCCCCATCCTCCTTTTTCTTTTTGTAAGTAAGAAACAACATAAAAATACAGATTAAGGAAATGTTTCAGAAGCTGGAGAGGGCAAAGCTGAAGGTTGCCTGTTCAGCCTTCTCGTTGGAGTGATTTATAGCAAGCGGTTTAATTTGATAAGCTTTTTTCCTCTGAATTCCTTGTTAGCTTCGTGGGAAAAYGGCAACCACATGGAACTGGATGGTAAAATGAGGCTTCCATGGTTCTGGAACGAAGTTCTCAGCCTGCTGCCTCTTTCCTCAAGCTCTTCCTGTCCTTTGCAGAAATTGAAGGCTGTCACAACAACAACGGAGGCTGCAGCCACGGCTGCGTTGAGGTGGGAGACTCCTACCAGTGCGAGTGTCCGCGGGGCCTGGTCCTCTCCGAAGATAATCACACTTGCCAAGGTGGGTCAGGCCCTGCTGAAATGGGACAAAAGGCCAGAAAAGCGCTGGGTGAAGACGAGCTTTGGAAGGGCCTTCCCTCGTGGAGGGTTKGGGTGAGAGGTGATAATGTTTCTGGCTCATCCCTTGCACTTCTGCTGCTGGTTCTTGTTGTGTTCCCTTAGTTTCTCCTGTCCAGTTTAGTTAATGGAGCTTTGCTGAGAGGGAGGGACCATCCCAAATGGAAATGTCTGCAGGCATGGCTCTTTTTCACAGCAAGCAGGAGAGCAGAGACCCTACCGAGTGCATCTTGCATCACAGGCGGCTTTAGCAGCCATCACTTACAATTAAGATTGCCTAACATCTCCCTTTATTTGCCTTTGSTGCAGCTGGCTGTGCTTTTGCCAATTTTTTTGCCAGTAGAGCTGAAATTTTCCATGCCTCAAGCTTGGTCTTTGTAATTTCAATTAAAAGGATTCGGGCGCTTCCAAGAGTGGTGTTACGGAGCCCAGCATCTTCCACCCGGGTTAAATATCTGYCCAGGCGTTTCAGGAGGCATTTCCATGTCTAAAAAGCAGGAGGCTGGTTYTGATGCCAGGTGTTCCTGCTCTCCCATGGAAAAGCAGCCAGGATAGCGTCTGAAAATCCACGGTCGGTTGTGCTGGGTAGGGGCAAGGGCAGCGTCGTCCTTGGACAACCTTCCAGGGCCGCTAGCGAGCGGGATCACTTGTTCTCTCACATTCTGGSAATTTATGGCCCTATCCAGTGGTCTGCAGTAGTTGAACACACACACACACATATATATAAAAATATATATGACATATATATATAAAATATATATGTGAGAGAATATATCTGGAGCTGTACTGGTGCGATTTTTTTATGGCATCTAATCAAGTTTATAGTGCTGTAATTAAGAGTGCAGGGCAGACCCAGTTGCCTGAAGCAATAGGACCTGCTTCCTATCGACCCTCCCCTGCGCTGCCTTCAGCTCCGGGCAAATATCAGTCTTCTTGCAGGGAAATCAATGGCCTGGCTGCCATTTGCACACAGGGACACGGGCCAAAGAAGCACTTGCAATTTTGYCAGCCGTTTCCCTTCCCTGGTATCCCCAACTCCTTCCACAGCACAGTGCTGAAAATGTTTTTCTCTGCTCGTGTTCAACCCTCTTGTGCAACTCTGCACAATAGGGATTTTTAAGCTGTGCTAAATGGTGTAATTCTGGAGGGGTTTTGTTTTTTCCCAAGCAGGGAGCAGGCTCTGAGCAAAAGAATGTTTGCCATGGATCTAATGGAATAGGCATGCGTGGGCAAAAGGGATATATATTGCACTTACTTTTTTAATGGAAAATTATTCCCTCTTATTTCCTATTTCATTTTGTCTGATCACTTCTTGTCCTGCTTTTTTATACGACAGAATCATCTTTTTGAGCTCACAATCTACTTTATGAAAATTGAAAGTAAATTGGAAGGAAGTGGAATGAACTAATTGGGATTGGTTATGTCAGAGATAAGTTTGTTGCATATAAAAATACTAATTATTATGAGCTTTGAGGCTGCTGCTGTTTTGGATGGGTACCTGTATGGACTTATGCTGCCTTGTTTTGGCATGTTCTGTATTTGGTGTAAAACTCTTATAAAGGATTTTTAGGAATGGCTTTGCCTGGAGTGTTGAGGAGATGATATCCATGTGTGGAAAAGCCTCTCTCCAGGACATGGCAGTGCTGGAAATATCAATCAGACCTTTGCTAGGTGTAAAATATAGCTTGAAATGCAGCTTGCATAGCCAAGCTGCTGCTGTGAGCGGAGCACTCGTCCTCGTGTTTTGGGGCATGACCAGGAGAATTTGGGGTAGTGATGGATTAATTGGTGTTGCTTGGATGGGGATACACAATAGACAAATAATTAGTGCAGCATCCTTCCTTTTTTCCCCTCAGTAAGAGTAAATGGAGCCTTTCCTTGGCCCGTGGTGGATAACCAGTGTTCATTGTTGTTGTGGGAACTTTCTTGCAGTCCCAGTGCTGTGCAAGTCCAGCTCTATCGAGGTGAGCATCCCGAAGGAGCTGGTGGGAGGCCTGGACCTCTCCCTCATCAACACCTCCTGCAAAGGCGTCTCCAACGGCACTCACGTCAACATCCACTTCTCCCTGAAGTCCTGCGGCACCATCGTGGACGTACGTACGCTCTCCCRCGGCCGCCGTCCTTCGGGCTCGAGGGCTGCGTGTGGCTTCCGTGGGGAGGGAGGTTGAGCTGGCTGCATATGAGGGGTTACGGTTGATAACAGACTGGCCCTTGGGCCATAGGCAGAGGTGAGCCYGGCTCTAGTTGCTGTGCGCAGCTTCCCAAGCCGCATCTTGAAGGGCTGCTTTATGTCGGACTTTCCTGAGCAAGGGGCACTCGGAGAGGTGCTTCTCACCAAGGGTGGCCTCCCCTTCCCCTTCTTCCCTCCCTTTCTTTGCTGCAGGTAATAAATGACAAAATCCTTGCCACCAACCTGGTGACGGGCCTGCCGAAGCAGACACCAGGCAGCAACGGGGACATCATCGTGCGCACGAGCAAGCTGCTCATCCCGGTGACGTGCGAGTTCCCGCGCCGCTACACCATTTCCGAAGGCTACGTGCCCAACCTCAGGAACTCCCCCTTGGAAATCATGGGCCGCAACCAAGGTGTCTTCCCCTTCACCCTGGAGATCTTCAAAGACAAGGAGTTTGAGGAGCCCTACAGGGACTCCCTTCCCACGCTCAAGCTGCGGGACTCGCTGTATTTCGGCATCGAGCCCTTGGTACATGTCAGCGGCCTGGAGACCCTGGTTGAGAGCTGCTTTGCCACCCCCACCTCGAAAATTGATGAGATCTTGAAGTACTACCTAATTCAAGATGGGTGAGTTGACCATTCCCCACTTTTCCTTTCCCACTAGTGGCCTTTTTGTAGAACAAGCCAAAAGACTCCATGGCCAGAGCTTCCCTTTCTTCTTTTCCTCGCTGTCAGCCCATCACTCAAGGGATTCTGTTCATGCAAGTTCTCTTTCCCTGACCACATAATAAGGATTACTGTATTTCTGCAGCTGCCAGGCTAAATCACCCACCAGCACAGCTGCTGCTGGTGAATCCCGTGGGATTGAGATTGTCCTGCAGGGTGCAGGAGGCTGCTTCACCCTCCTTCTGTCAGGAATCTCCGCAGCGCCTCCTCCTTCCATCCTGGGCTGCAGTTCTTGCAGGCCAGGCGTTCCTGCAGCTTATGGACAGGCTGGTGGGGAGAGGCTTGATTTATCAACTCCCTGGCTGTGCCCTTGGACTCCTTCCCCTTGCCGAGGGAAAACGATGGGTGTTTGGAAGAGGGGTGAAAACCTGAGCTGAATAACGAGAGAAAGCTGCAAATACGACTTGGCCCTTCTACCAGAGCAACACCTGGGGGATTTGCACAGAAACAGGCTTGAGAGCTCTTTGTGAAACACCTTTTTTCTCCTGGTAGGGACAGCCCCTATGGTGCGGTTATCCTGCAGAGGGCATTAAAACTTCACGGGAAGGAGAAGCGGGCTGGGCTGCCTGGCGCTGCCCCAGCGCTGTTACTCGGCTCTGCTTTTTCATTGCACCCCGAGGAGAGGCTGCTCATGGGCTCCTGGGCTGCCTGGGCGCTTTGTCTCTTGCCTGGAGGGCAGCAATTAACAAGTGAAATTAGCTGAACCCGCTGCTGGTTTCGCCCTGCTCCAAAGAGCTCCGTAAGGGCCCGTTTTCCTGCCCCCAGCCCAGCCCCTAAAGCCCCAGGCAATAACCCTGAGGCTTCTAATGGTTTGGGGGACTTGGCATCCGATCCGCAGCCCAGACTTCTCGAGTGAAGTTCTACCTAAATTCCTGCCTGGGAGGGATAGGCTTTAGCTATCCCTCCTTTAGCTGGAGGCAACTGGAATTTCCTCGGGAATTTCCTCTGGTTGCTGGGCAGGGCTGTCACGGAGCTGCCTGTGGGGATTTGCCCATGTCCAGCCTGGCCAGCCCACGCCAGAGCCAGTTTTCCCTCTTCTGCTTCCGTCCTTCCACTTTCTCCAAAGCAAAATAAATAAAAGGTTGCCTGGATGACAAACAGTGCAGCTCTCTGGGGTATCTGGAGCAAGGTCAGGCCACGATGGGCAATCCGTGGTGCTTAAGGTGGCTCCGTGCATGAGGTTAGTGCCACGTCAGTCCCTTGGGACTTGGGATGGCCCCCCGTACGATGCCAAGGGACTTGTCCCCRTGCCTGGCAAGTTGCTGAGCTCTTCTGGTCATGCTGCAATATATTTTTGGCCATCCTTTCTAAAACACGTGCTTGGGGCTCTTAGGTTCCACCTTGTTCTCCCCTTTTCCCTCTCTATCCCCAACCAGTAGGTTTCCACCCGCAGTGTGGAGCATGTTCCACCCTGCAGGGCTTGGTTTGAGCTGCTGCCCCCAAATCACCACAACTCACACGCTCACTAGCAGGGAAATGCCCCCGAGGGGACTTCACAACCCCAAGGCTTGGCCCATCCCTTATGGGAACTGATACTCCTCAGGTGAGAGGCCTCCTCCTTGAGGAGTGATGCTTTTGTAAGCAATTTTATACAAAACAATCTAGTAGCATCTAGTGTAGCTGTAGTGAATTTGAGCCCTCCGACCAAGTCCACTGAGAAGCACAGAAAACTATAAATGTGGTAAAACCAAGTGGATCTATTTTTTTTTTTCATAATTTGTAATATTTTAGGAACATGGGCAAAGGCTCCTCCATTGTGAGCATCATTCCATGCCCCGTATACACCTAGTGTATTATAGATGTTGAACAGTGGTGCTGGTCACAGCGGGCTGCAGCCCAGGAAGGTGAAATGAGCTGCTCGTTGTCTGGAGATGCCATTATCTCCGTTGTTTTTTCCCCATCATTCCCGAATTTCCTCCTGTGGCCAAAGAGAAGGCAGCATAGCTTAGCCCAGGAGAGCCAAACTCTCCTGTCCTTTTTCAAGTTAAGTAGCTGAGATTTTTTTCTTTCCTGCCTGTTTTTTTCCGTTTCTGGGAAGCCCATTACAGCCCATCCCTTTGCTCTCCGCAGCTGCGTTTCTGATGATTCAGTGAAACAGTACACGTCGAAGGACCATCTTGCCAAGCACTTCCAGGTCCCCGTCTTCAAGTTTGTGGGCAAAGACAACAAGGTGAGCTCAGAAAGCAGCGCTCGGCCCTGTAGCTTGGCTCCCTTCAGCCCCAAAGGCCCTGCAGGTTTCCAAGTACAAGGCTGCCACACGGATGAGCTTGGTGGAAAGCCACATTTTCGGGCAGAAGCACCGTAGTGGGAGGACAGCTGAAGGATAATGCTGACTTCCTAAGGGAAATAGATTCTTTCTTCCGTGCTGGAGGGAATGGGGTCTTTCAGTCACCGTTGTTACGCTCAGTAATAGCTGCAGAGCCTTGGGAGGACTAGAAGGATTGAAGTCTTAAATTCACCAGTTCATCTGGTTGCCACTGCTGCCTCTGTGGCACCTCCTCCAGGGCCTGTGCAACGCATTGTGCTTCACACCTCGCTATTGACCACGCTTTTCCCAAATGTCTGCCTCCCTACTCGCCACTTGCAGGGATCTTGCTTGCTCTTCTTGACACTGGAGGGCAGGGAGCAGCAGTCCTGTCACCATGTGCCCTATTGTGCAGGGAGGATAGGTAGTGTCAGCCTTGGCACTGTCTTCATTTCAGCTGCCAGCCTTGGCCTCTTGTCAGCCTGTGGTTTTGCCCCTCAGTCTTCTTTCTCAATGTGTTTTCTCAGCATGTGTCACCTTCTTGCACGTCTCCATCAATCCATCCATTCTTGCACGTCTCCATCAATCCATCTCCCTGGGAGGCTTCACCTGCTTCCTCCTGCGCTTCTGCTCCATGTGTCGCTCTGGACGCTTTCCTCCCTGCTCCTGAAGGTTCCTGCCGTGCGCGCTGACGCTGCCTCCGTCTTGCCACCCGCAGGAAGTTTTCCTGCACTGCCGCATCCTCGTGTGCGGGGCGCTGGACGAGAGCTCCCGCTGTGCCCAGGGCTGCCGCAGGCGGATGCGCAGGGCAGCCCGCACGGACCAGGAGGATGAGGAGGCWCCCAGCCATGTCCTCACAGGGGGGCCCATCAGAATCGACCTGGACGATTAGCACCCGCTTGCTCCGCCTGACGGCGACCGTCTGTATCCGACCCCTCCTTCCGTGGGCCTCTGAGAAATGAGGCGTTTGTGGAAGCCCCATGTGAACCTCCTCCAGACTTGTTTCTCCGAAGGCCTCATGCTCTTTTTGTGGTGTCTTAGGCACGTGAGGCAGAGTAACTCAGTCCTGCCTGCCTGCAGTGTAATAAGTGTTTCCTCCCGCATTTTTCACATCAGTATTTTCTCTCTTCTCCACCCAGCAGCCTTTTGTAAGTGTTGTAGCGCCTTTGTTTTAAGAAAAAGATAATTAAAAACCTACTCCCGCCCTCCAAGTGTGCTGCTACCAAGTTTGTGGTCRAGAGGCGCAACTCAGTGTGCTGGAAGCGACAGGGGCACCGGAGCACGGAGCTTGGGATTGCTCCGGGCATCGCTTCTGCAGTGAGGAGTTTCAAGCCGCATCCGGGGCTGGTTGGAGAGAGTCACGAATCCCATCAACCACCTTCCCTTTCCTGGGTTTATTACCTCGGGCGATGGAGGTTTCGAAGAGGAATGGCACTTCCCCAGGCTGGGGTCATTGCGGTGCTTTTTAATGGCTTCCTGGCTGCGTTTTCCTGGTTTGGGATTACATGTGTGTATGCAAATGTGTTAGGTTAAGTTAAAATATTTCKGTGACAATACACAGGGGGAAATGGAAGGACACTGCTGTCGATGTCATGTAACTACGGGTGAAAGGGAAAACAAATGAGAAAGCCTCCCTCTCACCTCGCCCTGCGTCTCCTGATTCTGCTGACTCACTCGCGCTGCTAGGCACAATTTCTTGCAGTCTCTTTTTGGTTCAAGCAGCTGAACGAACTTGTGTTGATAAAACAAGAGCTGGGAAATGGAATGAATTAGCCAGTGCCTTCTGGAGGCGGAGAGGGAGAGCCTGGGCAGGTAGGTGCAGAACAGCAGGAAACGTGCCCTGTGCCACACACAGTGGAAACAGTTTTCCAAGTCTGTGACKTGGGGAGGTGCTGTTAGCAGGAGAGGTCACGCTGCCCAAACAGGATGGCCCTATCAGCAAGAGTCAACAAAGTCCCCGGGAGACACGAGGGCAAGTGGAAATAGCGGCGTGGAAATCAAGGTGACTCGAGGTTTGCATGTCCTCTGCTCCACAGGGCTACTGAGTGGTTTCCTTGACTCACTGCCACCACTAAAAGATTCAGAACTGTCGCTGTGAAGCAGCTGGTGGCGATTTTGCAGGTTGTCACAGCTAAGCTTTGCAGTGAGGAATGCAGCGCTTCAGCAGCTGCTCTGCATGCAGCAGGCTGGGAAGTGTCGGGSATGAGAAGTGGTCTGGCAGGAGGAGGAAACTGTGATTGATATTAGTGCTGTCCCTGACTGTGAGCAGAGGGAGTCTGTTCAGAACCTTTCAATTTCTCTTCTATATCCTCTGCTGTCATCGCTTGCGTGGCTTGAATTCGATACCACTTGAGCTACATTCTTGAAGGCATTTTTGGCTATAGAGTTTACACAAGATGTAGTTTTTAAACTATAGCATTTTAATCCTAAGAGCGTGCTCACATTTCAAACTGACAACAGGTACCGCTTTGCCAGCAAGACTCAAAGTGCAGGAAAAGTCTGCAATGAGGAACGTTTCCTTCCTCTCCCAAGCCCAAAATACCTGTTTCTTAGACAGAGGAGCAGACTGTCCATCCAGCTCTGAGGGACACGTGCTGTGCTGGAGCTTGACATTGCAGTGTTCCCTCCCCACTGGAGTTAGCACAGCTAGGAAAGAGTGTCCTCGCATCCCCAGCGGTGGAAATCAAGATCCTCCTTGATGGAAAATATCCCAGCGTACCCGGGACGATCGTTTGTGTTTCCCTATTTTCCTGTCTTCTTCCTGTTTTCCTGTTGTTTCCGGCTACTTGGGGTGAGATGAATGTCTCATCACTGCTCACTGTAAAGCAAAGATGCCTGGCAAGAATAGGGCTTAAATAATTTATAGCTCCATGCATGCATTTAAATGCAGAAACTAGACAAAAAATAACAAAGAGAAACTCTCTTCATTTTTTGTTTCAAATTGCCCTTCTGTAGCCTCAACTTTTCCGTGGCAGATGGAAGAGCATAACCATAAATGTGTTTGCAAGGCTTGCTGAAGGATTTATGTGGCGTGCCATGGGGACCCAACAGTGACTTCCTTTCAACAAGAAACGCAGCTGAAAGCTGCCTGCAAATGTTAGGTGGAGATGAGTTTCTAAATACCACTTTAAATTCTAATTTTGTCTGAAATAAAAGCTGCTGATAGCAGATGGAAATATTAGCCCCATTTTGCACRAGCATGAAAACTGCCACACAGAGGCAGCAAATAAGCCCTGCCATCTGACAGAGGAGGCGCCAGGATTTTGCAAAATCTCAGGCAATGCAACTGTGAGAGCCTCCTGTTCCCTCTGTGCAAGAGAGGAGGTTGTGACGCCCAACTGCTTTGTGTAAAAAAGGAAAAAAAAAAAAAGAATAATAATGAAAAAACAAGGCGGAACCTAAGGAAGAAACTTTAAGTGGCAAAGGAGAGAAATCATTCAACATACAGTTCGTATCTGGCTGAAAATAAGAAGCAGCTGCCTTCCTGAGAGTGGGGGAGAGGTCTAGGGATGCGCAAGAGATGCCTCAGATTGCTGTTGATGCCTCAAACCGGTGGGCTCTGGTCTCCTTCTGCCCATATCACAGCTACCTAGAGCCCTTCCCACATTTACCAAATCCCTGGATGTTTTAAAGAGCTTTAGGATCCGTCAGGCACTTAAGGAGGCGGGATTGTCAGGGGCCATAATGATGGGATGGAAAGTGTCAAGRATGGGTGTGAACAACATACGGAGAGCAAATTATCCCTCCTCTTTGGTCCGGTGCTGGTGGGAATGCTTAAATAGTGTGGTCGTGGACTGGGGTTTTCGAGGGCTGCAGAACCTTCATGCAAATTGCAAAATACTGCAGATGAGAAAGGGAAGGCGCAGGGGCCAGCACATGAGCAAAGCCCCTCGTTCATGACCAGCGCCGCACCCTGCTTGCGGCTCTAGGCAAAATGGGCGTTCGGATCGTTCAGGCTGACAGACCCGGACAGGGAAAGGGCTGTTGGGCTGTAGCGGACAACAGGCAGCGCTGCCTCCTCTCCGTAGACAGTCTCCCCTTTCACAGCCCTCTGCCCGGGAGCGGTGGCCAGGGCACGCTGCTCGCCCGCGTCCCGCACAGCAAGCAGTGCCACGTGGGATAGGGGCTCCCGGGGGGCCCCGGCGCTCCGCTCTTCCTCACAGTTCGTCGCGCTCTTCCTCGCTGCAGATGCAGGCGCTCCGCTGGCTGTTCATGAAGGGCCGGCAGCCCAGGGTCCACACGGCGTTGAACACCGTGTCCGCAACGGATTCGCAAGCTGTCGGAGAAAAGCACATCAGGAACAGGCGTGCAGGGCTGCCTGAGGCATTTGCAGGTGGGGACGTGGGTTGTCTTTATTTTTGCCATTTCTGACCCGAATCCTGTGTGGGAGATACAACCTGGGACGAAGCTGACTCCACAGGTTTATCAGGACCGACCTTCTTTGGAGATCTTTAAAACCCGCGTGGATGCAGCCTGTGCCGTGTGCTCTAGGTGACCCTGCGTGAGCAGCGGGGTTGGACTAGATGACCTCTGAGGTCCCTTCCAACCTTTATTCCCTCTGGCCACTGCATTGTTATAAATCCAGTAATTCTCCCTTTCTGCTGAATTTGGGGCTCTTTTATCCCTGCCGTGGCAAGTCTGTGCCGCAGAGGAGAGGCACAAACGTCCTTSCCTCCCCATCCCTGGGAACCGGCCTCCTCTCTGGCCTCTCCTGGGCCCAGATGGCCTGGGATGGGTTACGTGGGCTGCTGCACGTAGCATGGCGTGGCAAGCACGTTCCCCACAGCTCTGCCCAGAACTGTCCCAAGGGACATGGAGGCTTTGACTAACTCGCACCGATGCAAGAGGGCTCAGGGGCTGCYTTGGCAACACTCAGGTATCCTCTGGCAACCAGGACAAGGCGCTAGAAAAGTCCGGCCCCTGCTTGGGCCAGGCACAGAGCGCGGGCTTTGCTCCACCTTAACTCGACAGGGCTCATCTGTTGGCTTAGGCTGAGGCGAAAAATTGGCAGAAAATCTCCCTAGATAGGAACGTTACAAGAGGGCGCCCAGATAAGGGTGACCATGGGAGGCTGGGCTGGCCACGCACCACCCTCCTCCCTGCCCTCCGTGGCTCTCACAGGGGACACGAACCCACCTTCCACCTTGGAGACGAAGCCCAGGCTGCGCTTGAGGTCGGAGCAGATGGAGTGGAGGCACCAGCGGAACTTGGCGTCGCAGCGGTACTTGTTGGCGCCGCACGTGTCGTAGCAGACGTCCAGCTGGTTGCAGCACTTGGTCATGGCGGGGATGCCCAAGTCTAACTGGGRGAGGGAGCTGCTGTTAATGCCATGTTCCTGTCCCCCTTGTGCGTGTGAGGCCTCCATCAAAGACGTTTGCACTGGGGGGGACTCTTTTCTGCTCTCCACAGGAGGGCAGGACTTGTCTCTGGAGAGACTGGAGCCGTGAGCTAATCCCAGAGTCTTCCTCATCTAATAATTAGAGGAGTTTTTCTCAGGTATGGAGGAGTTACCACAGAAATGCCCCCAAGCTTTGCAATAAAATGTAGTTTAAAGAGCTAATCTAATTGAAAATTAGGAGATAATGGGGAGGGTTTTTCAGGGCAGATCAGCGCTTAATTGCCGCAGACTTCTTGGGCAGCCCTAACACACCACCTAAATTCTGATTCCTGCTCTTAAAGCCTTGCGGGGGGGGGCATTTTTTTTCCCCCTGATGCTTCCAAATTACTTTGATTTCGTTAATTGCCTTTAAAATCACAAGCTTTTTTTCACAAGCACAATTGCCTTTAAAATCGCATGCTGCTGGGATGCAGCATTAAAGGCCCCAGCTTTGTGCCAGTGCTCAGTGGAAGCAAAAGTCCTGGGAGGACATGGTGTGCCACATGTGGAGAAGACTTTGGAGGTGATTTCAGTGCATTGTGCTGAGTCACTGAGTACATTCCCTGGCATCAGGGTGGATCCAGGCTTGGCACTGGCACTGCCTCCTCCCCAAATTAGTAGTTGGTTATTGTGGTTAGCGGATTGTATCAGTTAGGAACGATGGGTTAGGCAGTACATACACTTTGGGGTACCTTGAGCCCCAGAAAATAGGAGCTGCAGCCATTCGGTTCCTGAGGCTTGTACTGAGGTCGTGGCATGGGGGCTTTCCCTGAKAAGGAGAGAAAGAAAAATGTTAGGAAATGGCACCAAAGAGCAAGGAGGGGAGGGCAACTCCTCTGGCTTGCATTCCCATCTGCAGAGTTGTGTTTTGGGTTAAAATTCTTTCTAAGCTCCCTTAGAGAACATATAGAGATATAAATTAGGTCTAATTTAGCCTTTTGGACAGGGTTGGGTTCTTTCAAGCTCTGTTTCCCCTGTTTTCTTCTTGTCAGCGCTGGTAATTATTTAAGACTGTCTTTCCCCGTTTTTCTGTCAAGGTACCTGAAGTACCAGTGGTAATACAGCCATAAATCTACCGTGTTCTTGAGAAAGCGACASAGGTAAAAGCCTCATTTTTCCAAATGCCTCAGAAGGTCATATGCAGGAATGTCCTCAGCACCTTCTAAATTAAAAACCTGCCAAAGCCGGTTGGTTTAAACAACAGATCTGCAGCAAGAAACTGAAATCTCATCCAGCTGTGAAATGCTCATGACTGATTTTCTGCAACTTTACAAAAATTCAGAATGCACCAAGGCTTTAACTGGCCGCACRCCAGGATGAAGCTCTCTAGATACAAAGTTGTAGCTCTCCAGGCCTGGGGTATATGCGTGGGATCATATTTTCAGGATCAACTTGTACTAGAGAAGTTCTGTTCCTGCTGCATGTAGTGAGTTATGGGGTAAGGTAAGTCAGAGCAGGAATGAAAACGTTTTGGGGTATGGAAATAATGAGTTTCCAAAGAAAACTTTCCATTAAGCAGATTTATAGTATTTTAGAAAGGTGGCTTTAGAAGGAGAAATCTCACGTGAGGGTGGTAGTGATGCACAATATTGAAGTGGCTGGAAGATGACTCCTCTCTGAACAGCAAAGCTTAATCATTTCTCAAGCACACTTTGGTGAACTCTTTCTTTGCTAGATAAAGTCCAAGACATTGTAATTAACCTCTCTCCCTCATCTGGTTTTCTAGCGAACCCTAAAACAGAAGCAAAGCACAAAAAGGCATCTCTGGCTCTACATGAACTACATCTACTCCGTGCTCTTGTTGCCRTCAATTGCTTCCCCTTCCTATGAGGCCACCTGTGCAGGAGAAGGAAGTCGGTAGGTCACAGTGACCGTTTTGTGGCTGTTTTAGGTCAGACGCCTGTTGCGGTGGGTCCGTCTGTTAAGGAGGGACACAGGGAATCACTGGAGGCAGCAGGTGTTGGATTTAACACCCATTCAGGCTGTTTTCCCCCTGCGTTGCTGCAGAGGTTTTGCAAGGAGAAGTAGGCACCTGCCAGCAAATATTTGTGTAACCCTRAAACGCCGCGTGAGGGGGGCCATCCATCAAGTTGTTTGCTTGTCAGGGCGCGCCAAGTGCTGAAGGAGCAGGAGGAGAGTCCAGCCGCCCGGGGAGCCGCCMGGTTAGTGCTCAGCTCAAGAGGGATGCGACAATCACGGGTGAGCCAGACCTTCACCACGGCCAAAAAAAAAAAAAAAAGCTGTTTTCAGCATTCCCCGCTGTAATGGGAGAGCAAGGCACCGTTTTCACCGTGTGCCCCGGGGACAGAGCAAGTGCRGAGGATAAAGAGGTTGGTGGCCCCTAGCATGAACACAGACCGATAGCCGGACCCTGGCGCCCATCCCACGCCCTTCCCGCCCCGGCCCACCCGGGCTCTCAACGACCGTTAACGGACGCCGCGAGGCTTCAACGGCCGTGGGGGTCTCGCGCCAATTGGCTGATCCTGCCTCCTACGCCCGCCCCCAAGGCGGCAGCAGCCAATGGGCGCTGYCGGTTGCGCGTGACGGGCAGGCGCGTGCTGAGGCCACGAGGCGGAGGTAACGGTCGGGGGGCTGCGGTAACGGCCGCCGGGCTGGGARAGGTGCCCGGTTTGCTGTGGAGCTACGGAGCTGAGGTGATAGTGCCCAGGGGGGCCATGGGGCTAACGTGGAAGCTGGCAGAGTGGAGGTGACGTGGCCGCCATGCTCAGGTGATGGGCTTGCTGCAGGCTTCAGGTAGCGGGTTGCTTTCTGGAAGGAATGAGATGGGTGCAGGCTGACTGAGTTGGTGGGGCATCTTCAAAGCATGAAGTTTGTGTCTGTGAAAAGCAATAATCAGGGTAGGAAAGAGATTGAAATCATCTCAGTGCTGAGGAGCACCTTGCCCGAGCATTCAGCTGGGGGGAATATGAGAGGAGGTGAAAGGGCTGGCAGGGGCAGCTGTGAATGAGGGGGTGTGAATTCTGCCCCCAGCACAAACCAAACTCTTCCATTCTTGGTGAGTCTCTAAAGTCCAAAGCAGGCAGCAGCTGCCTCGTTCCACCTTAAGCAGTAGAGGTTCYTCCATGGTGAATACTAGTCTCATTTACCTTCCTGTTATCTGCCCTCCTCCTTCCCATGTTATTAGTCAACTTGCAACTGCTGAATAATGGCACTCCGAAGGTTGCTGAGATCATGGCCACCTGCGACGTTCATAAGCCCTTCCGAGTCAGGCCTGCGTGTCCTTCCCTTGCTGCCTACCCTGCTCCCTCTCTTCAGGCTGCTGGGCAGTGGTTACCTGCAGGTCCTTCTGTAAGCCCTGCRTCATATCTTCTTTTGTCCCACTATCCCAAAGAACACAATAAGCTCAAGATCGGTCAGTACTTGGTCAGGGGAAAGGTGTGGATTGGGTTTCTCAGCAGCAGCACCAGAGTAGAAGCTGCGTCTCCCTGTAGTGATTTCCTGTGAGGAGCGCCATAGATGGTCAGGTCGCAGACACAAGTGCTGTGAGTTCTCACATACAGGAACGAGGAGAGAGGGCAGGAAGAAAGGAGCCAGCGGGAGTTAGGCACAGAAGTGGAGGCCGGTGCCACAGCTCTGCGGGCCCCATAAGCATCAGGTTTGGAAGGTAACAGAGCATATACAGTTCCGGAATGCAGCAACCCGCGAAATTCATAGCCGTGATGCTTTTATAAATCACCCATTCTGAGGGCTCACACCCTGAACCGGCAGACGGTGGCTGTTGTAGCAACCACAGTAGTCGGCAGACCGAGCTGTGGAGTATTTTGCCTCCAGCCCATAGGGTGGAGACCCCCTTCACTTACCATATCGACATCTGTACTGACAGACACCGTTCTTGCCGCCGAGCAGCTCCAAGAAGGAATCAAAGTAGCTGTTGACCGTTTCAAAGCTGTCCCGGATCATCCCAATGCCCCAGTTCGAGGAGGACTCTGCTGCGGGAGTGCTCCGGCCGGTGCTGTCCTGAGTGGCTTCCTCTGTGCATTGCCCTAAGCTCAGGCCCAGGCACAGAATTGCTGCCKTGAAAAACAGCCTCATGCTGCAATGCAGGGCGCCGGAGCCCTTGCGTGCACGGATGTGCAGGCAGGGAGGAGTGGGGCCGAGCTSTGTGTGTGCGGGGCAGGTGAGCACCCCTCTCCCTGGACTTTAAACACCGCGGGGGGAGCTGGGATGAGCTCACAGCAATCAGGGAGCAAAGTGCACTGTGGAGATTTGCTCTAAGTCCGTGTCCCAGAGAAGTGCTGGGATTTGGGTTGGCGCAATCCTGCTGGAACAGATCACCCTTCTTTGCAGTGCCGGGGCTTTCGCTGCTGTGTGGAGGTGATGTCCCCGTTCTGGGGGGAAGCCATTCACGGAGGGGCTGGAGCGGGTGCCTGCAGGGAACACGAGGGGCCCCAGCCTCTCACATAGCCCAGGCTGTCGCCTTCCCTCCCCTGCCTGTTGGGAGGCAGAGGGGCTCTCTCCCTCTGGGCTTCATGCTGCGGGGGCAATGAGAGYAGTGGTCCCCTGGCAGACAGTGGAGCACCCCTTGCTCTTACCCAAGGTTTCCTGGCCGAGTGTGCCAGCACAGTACCGCCYTCCAGAAACAACACCTTGCCTGTCTCCAAGAGCCTGCTTTACAGAGGCCAACTCTGCAGAAGTGTCCAGGCTTCCCCACGGAGGCTCTCTAAGAGAGCCGAGGAGCGGGACTTCCAAATGCCCAGCAAATACAAGCGCAGACCCTGACGTTTGCTTGTGTTGCAGGGGATGGCAGTGGTGCCGCTGCTTCTGAAGTGGCAGAGTTCTGCAGCGCCCGAATGGCAGAGGCTGCATCCTTCTGCAGCCTGCTCCTGTGTTCCACAGGTGGGATGAGGAGGAGGGACCACAGCTACAGCTGGGATTTTCAGGTAAGTGGAAAGAAAAACAGGCCACGCTCATTAGCAGTTGTTATCAGCACATGCTGCTGGAGGGAGAACCAGGTTCAGCAGTGCTGTGCTTTGTGCTGCACCGTGCAGAGCAGCTCACATCCCTGTTGGTTGAATCACCACCCTGTGCGACGTGCTGGATTGCAGCTCCCAGCCCTCAGGAAGAGTCCGGCAGAAATTAATGTAAAAAAGACCAAAACAGCTTTCCGAAGCAATTTGGAAACATCTTGCAGAGCCACTGGGTGGCTGTGCTTGCACTGTGCTTTTGTGCTCAGCTCCTTACAGTTGCTCTGGAGTTAATTGCAGAAAATGGTTTTCTTGCTTCTCCGGTCTCCGTGGCTGATCCATGTGCTGTTKAATGTGGACAGCGATGGGAAAGTCACTGGCAGGATTGCAGGGAATGCAAAGCACAGTGACTGCTCCGTGAGCTGTCAGTGCTACAGTGCGCGGGCTGCACAGCCCTGCATGGCGTGGCTCTGCGCAGAGGCAGCCAGGACCATGTGCAAAATCAATTGAGACTTGTTAGGGAAGCTAAGCAGGGCAGCGGAGGAGGAGGGAATATTCAGCAGCACAAAGAGTCTGGGCAAGGAGGAATTGGAGACATCCCTGTCAGTCAGGCACTTGTCTGGGCGCGAAGTTTTGGCACTTAGTGTGTTTTGCTGCTTCAGCAAGAATGCGGCAGCCCCTTCACCCTGCCCTGAGGATCACCCAGCCTCTTTCCTCCTCCAGCTTTCTTCCACCCTCCCCACTATTCTCTGGAGACATTTGGAATCCAGCTGCAAATAGCTCGGATGCACCCAAATTCCAAGGTGTAAAGGCAAGAAAAAAAAGTTGRATGCAGTAGAACTAACAAATGCAACACCCTTCCCCTTAATGCCTCCCCCACTCCTACAGTTATCTCCRTGCAGGGAATTGCTGCTGAGGCTCAACAGAGGTGAGGAGGACTTGGAGAACAGCCAGTACCTGGCTGGCTGGCTGGCTTCCTTTTTGACCCTCTGAAGTGACAAATCTCCTTATCTCTCTGAGCATCTAAGACATATGCGTATTTTTTTTTGCCAAGATGATCACCTCCGACAACCAATTTCTGAACCTCGTCTCAACCTGAGGGTGAGCAGCTCCCAAGCTCGTACAGTCATTTCTCGCTCAGTAATGCTTAAATATAGAGCAGCCCGAGGGCTGTGATGAGTCACTTCTAAAGCCACCATCAGCCTGTTGGCCTCAGCTCCTGTTTAGCCAGAGGGAAATCCAGCTGCAGCTGCATGGGGCAGGATCCCAGTGCGCAGCTGTCCACGTGTCCGCGCCCAAGCGGGGCAGAGCTGGAAGCTGCCTTTGGCTTCGCACATCTGCACTGCTAGAGCTCAGCCCTTGACAAGGAAGAACAGGAGCATGTCCCGCTCCTTTAGGCATTCCTGTGTAGAGCACAATGTGATTTAGACACAGGGGTTTATGTTGGGTCTCTGCAGGGATTATTCCTTACCTGTTCCATCAGGGAAGTTGAGAAGGAAGGCATGTGGAGAACAGCGCTCTTTCCGTATCGCGTTTGCTCAGCTAGGTGAGTTGCTGCCTGATGTTTAAGCTTGGCCTAAAGGGGACTAGGCTGCTTGCAGCTGGGGTTCTTGGGCAAGCTGTTGTTGGTTCAAAGCCTGGCTTGGAAGGGAGATGAGTCAGTGTTGGAACAAGAAAACAGCTGGATGATGAAATGTCCAAGTTCTTAAGCAAGGCAGGTCAGAGTTCAGCTGCTGTGGGGAGGGAGGACGGGTGTGTGGTTAGAGACCTRCTCCCTGATGGGGACTCGTGACCCATCACTCCAGCCTCCTGTGCTCTGCGTCCCCCGTCCCCACCCCCATAAACATGGCTCCAGCATCCCCGCCTGTGGCTGCATGGGGAAGGGATGTTGCCTAACTGCAAGCTGAGCTTAACTGTTCTGTTCTGCAGACACGGGGCTTAGGGCTCCTAAGCAGCCTGTGCTGCTCTCTCTGCAGGCTGCTGATGGCCACAAGCTACGAGTACTGCCCTTCTGAAAGGGCAAAGCGCAGGAGTGGCACCCGTGTGTGACCCCCCCGCCCCAGCAGGCGCCTTGGCTAAGGAAGGAGTCAAACTTGCTATGTGGGAGTGCTCCATTCCCCCCTTTACGGGGCTGGTGTTTGTGGGGCAGGAAAGCCTGGTCTGTCACCCCTGCCCAGATTGGCTCTCTCTGTGTTTGAACTCTTGGCTTCAGGAAGCACAAGACTTTTATCGTCCCCACAAAGGGACTTTCAGCCACTGACACTGTCGCCCTGCCTGTTGGCAGTCCCCAGCCAGGATAGAATAGAGGCACTTGTGCAAGTCCCATCTCCCTAATCGATCCCAGAGCAGCTGCTGCCATAAATCAGCACGGCTGAGACAAAGGCACTTAGACACACGCTCCTTCTCCAGTTCTTTTTTGGTGTACAACACAATTTTAGTCCAGCCTTCCATCTTTTGGGCTCAAAATGGATTCTTTTTCCAGTCCATTAGTTCAGTGTGATTCCAGTGGAGCCCCAAAGCTGAGGTGTGAGGAGATGTTTAATAGTCATAGGAGCATCTTCTGCACCAGCTCATGAGGTTATACAGTGAAGCAAGGGAGTTTAGTCTTCAAGAAACACATCTGGTGAGAAACACATGTATCTTCAGGCTTGCAATAGCCAAATACACCGAGGATGTGTCTGATGTTAAAAGGTTTTTTTCACTGCTAAGGGCAGTGGCTTGTATTTTAAGTCCTTTTTTTACATTAAAAACTTCTATTAGGGAAAAAAGGGTGGTTTTGCAATTGTCAGTCACTGTGAGCCAAATGGTTTTCAATCATCTTTAATACAAAACTAGATTCACAGAGGAGCCAACTGTTGATCCAAAAGCCCTTTGAGAAATGACCGGATAAGGCAGAAAGCAACAATACCAGCTGTGTCATCATTTACACATTTAGTATTAGGTGTATGGGGAAAGATGAAATACTGATTGTCTATAACGTTAAAAAAAAAAAAACTTACCCTTTCTCTTCTAATAATCTGGCTTGGAAGGTTTCAGTCTCATGTCCTCAGCAGACTTGACTTTGTGCTTTTGGGGATTTTTTTTTCTATATAAACCAACCGAATTTTTCTAATGGCAAAAGACAAATCATTTCTGTCTCCTGAAGAACTGCAAGTCACTGAGGAATTCACTGATTTCAAAGTCATGCACTGGACTATTTTAACCCCCTAAACAATGTCTCTTAGTAGGATATTAACACTAGAAATACTCAGCAGCAAGTGCGACGAGGGAGTAAAGTGGTCAGCAAACTGCCTGGGGCAGACGCTGCAGAACGGCTTCCTTCGTGTTTCCCCTCCTCTTCTGGGGCTGCTTCAACAGGGAGTCACTGCTCAGTACAACCAAACTGTATTCGCTCATCACTCCAACCCTTCCCTTTTTAATACAATCTTGCCACTGTGACAGCACCTAGAGCAGTCACTGGCATGTTCCAGACAATATTTCTCTTACCTTACTTAAATTCTCCATTTTTTTTTAGTTATTATTTTAACATGTCAAGGAACTCTGCTCACTTTAGGGGAAAAAAAAAACATTTCTGTAATAGCAAAACTAGAGGCTGTGTACTGAGTGTGTCCATTGTGGTAATATATTGATTTCTTTTGTGCTTGTTAGCAACCCCAGATTAGCTTTTAGACAAGCATTTATAGAGGCCTTAGAGATAGTGGGGGAAAGTTAATGCCCCATAATAACACACCTAACTCCGTGTTATCCATTGTATTCTTGCAGGAACACAACATGACCTACCTGCAGCCATAAATACTACCAAAAGTGTGAAAGAGCCAACAGCACAGGAAGGAGAAAACCACAGATAAGAGCAGAGACGAATCTACTGACACCATGTAGCAGGGAGAAAATGGAGGTAAGTGGAAATATGTTGCACTTTGTAAATATTTACAGTCTAGCAAACAAATCGTATGCTCTGATAACTCGCTTTGCTGAATCTATGTCAGCCACTGTTCTGTTGTGCTATGAAGTGAGCAGTACAGCAGTGAGGGGAACCTTGTTATTTTTTTATCTGTCATTCTCAAAAAAATCACTTGCAAAACACAAGGTGCAGGGCCATAGTGGAGCAGTGTGGTAGGTCCCATTGCTGATAGGTTTAAAAATTTAATGATGCAATTTCCAGCTAAGACTTCAGGTGTCTTTTGTAAATATGCCTCCTGCAAGTGTGCTGTAGCGCCTCACCCTGTACTCTCACTGCCCCAGMGGTACTTCTAACAATATTAATATATTAACAATATAACAATGTTAATATATTGTCGGCTGCTTCTACCTTTTGGCTCAGTTTGCAAGATGTTATTGAGGCAGAAAAATCCAACTGAYTAAAACAGGCTTTTTTTTCCTTGGTAAAGACTTCAGGCTTTGACCCCTACATCAGTAAACCACCACACCATCCAGACAACTAGACTGTTTTGAGACAGGAGAGCCTCGTGCAGGTCGTTTGGATTCTTGTCCCCATGTTTGTGGAGTGTTTGGACATTTTGCTCTAAATGCTGCTGCTGAAACCCAGCTTAGGGAAACAATCCCCCCACCCCATCACAGCCTCTGTCCTGCTCTTTCTTAGCTCCTCCTGCTCTGTCGCATCTTGGGATTACAGGTATGACAGGGCTCTGGCTTGCGCTCAGCATCCACAACAGAAAAAACACATGCAAAATAAAAAGCATCTAGAATGAGGTTGAGGAGTATAAATAGGCCATCTATTTCTCAAAAACACTCGAGAATTGAGGGGACAAAGTATGATTTTCAGGAGTTAAGAGTGTTTTATGGCAATTGTGTTTTATTGCCTCATCACCTGAAGTCTCACAACCTATTTGAAAATCCAGTATCCTAAGGCACGGTTACTTTGATGAATGAAGATGGCAATATTCCCATCCCCACTGCCCMAGGAGTAGACATAAGAGTTTATTACTAAGATAGAATAAAAGCAGCATCTGTTCCTTGTTACGTGGACAAACTTATTGAAGGAAAAAAGCACAACACGGAGGGAAGATGGGCTGTAATTGTCACATGCTGTGCTGCAGGTGACACAGCACTGTTAGAGCATCCCCTCTGCGCATGCGGAGCTGCTGCCTCATGTTCCTAAGGGCAAGACCCCAACTCACCAGAGGCATAAAAAGGAGGCCAGTTCCCAAACCTGGGCTGTTGTGGAAATGGAGAAATAAGGTAAAACAGGCAGTGCTAACCCGCTCTCAGAGCAACACAAAGCACACCCACAGTTTGAAACAGTAGTGGTCAGGCACTCTACGCGAGCAAGGAGTCCAGCGTCTGGATATTCGGGAATACGAACTGGTTTAATACAGCCTTCCGAGAAAAGAGTCCTCCCGTGACACCGTCTGGTCAGCAGTTACTGCCCCCCAACACCCTGAGAGGCGCGAGGGCTCTAAAGCAAACAAGCCCTGGCGGTCGGTGCTGATGAGCAGGGCTGGTGAAGGGTGCACCACTGCTAGCTGTGGCTCTGCAGTTTAGCCTTGTTTTTTTTTTTTTCCTTCTGCAACACTCTTAGACCTTTAAAATCAATATATTCTGTGTATAAAACCAGARAGGGGTATTTTAGAGGGAACTAAAGCATGTTTGTTTTGTCCACAGATGAAACATTGGTGTAGTTGAAGACTGAACCTGTAGTGTGGAGTGTTAGTCAACTGTAAACTGTAGAAGATCTGTGCATTTTACACAAATTGAATACAGAAGWGAAGGAGGCAGAGCCTGCATCATTCCAGCTCTGATAATGTGCACGGTCTTCGGAATTCCTGTCCCCGTTCGTGGAGCCATTTATTGGATACTGCAAAAACAGAGGTAAGTGATCACTGCACCCGTGTAGCTCCCAGCTTCTTCTAAAACAGAAGTCTCGCCTAAGTAAAAGATCATTTTAATGTACACACAAATACAGAGCTGGTTTAATAATCTTTCATTTAATCTTTCATTTTTAAATAAATGAACCGTTTTGGCTTCTTTTTATCCCCTCGTGAAGTCCTGAGAAACAGGAAAACAGCAGCAACCCACAACCCATTGCTGACCCTCCCACAGAGAGGTACTCCCAACAACTTGAGGGCTACTTACCCCATTTGTTCCCAACTAGTACCGGGCAGGCTGCGTGCCGCGTGCTGTAGTCACCTTCTCCGCTTGGAAAGAGGTTGTACCAGAATACAGCTGTGCCCTGGAAAACGCAGCRCAGACTCAGCACCTGGCTCCGTGATACAAACTGGTGTCCCCCAGCACTGCTTCATTAGAAACGTGGGTGTCTTTGTATTGCAAAGGTGCCTTACAAATTGAAGACGCTCTTCCATTTTCTAAAATATGCCTTCCTAAAGAATGAGTTTCCTCATATATCCTTTTTTTTATTTATTTATTTTCCTTTTTTCATATATATTTCTTTAGCCTGTCCAATTCAATTCATGACTACTAGAAAAGCAGAATAGCTGCCTTTAAATAAACTAAAGAGGAGCAGCAGGCTAGCAAAGACAGACTTCATTCCTGACCCTTTGGAGGGAGAAGCTGTAGCAGGAGCACAGAATTTCAGACAGGGCTCCAGGTAGAAAATGCTAGAAACAAACATATAAAACCACCACAGGACTTAAAAGCAGTTTTGAATATTTAAAAAAAAAAAAAAGTTTTGAAGTAGAAACAGATCAGTCACACTTATGTTTTAGACACTGAAGAAGCTATTGCAGGTGAGAGCAGCCCCAGCAGCACAAGGCCCTGACTTCTTTTCCTCGTGAAGGAGGGAAACTCTCCAACCCCAGGGAGAGTTTCCAATCTCCAAGTTTCCTTTCCAACACGGACCAGCCCAGGCAGATGCAGAGAATAAGGGTTAATGGGGCTCCAAAGCCCGGCTTACCTTTCTAGGCCACACGCTGGCTCCTACTTCAGGGAAGACAGTAGCTCCCCCTGCTGACACATCGCTCATCTGAAGGGGTGAACATGGCACAGGTAAGTTGCAAGGCAAAGCACTCCCCACGTGCCCTCTTTAATAAAATATAATGGAGGCACTGCAAAACTTTTTACCTCCCCATTAGMGAGCGAAGACTTGTGTGACTAATGACCTAATAAAATGGACTAAAAGCCACCCAGACAGTGCGAAGTGGGGTAGCCAGCCTTGTCCCACAGTGCCACATGCTCAAATGTTGTGGCAACAAGCATGCTATGAATACCTATGCAGTTATAAAAGTGGGCAGACAGTCAAAAAAATCTAAATCCTCCTTAGGAACACATGTGAGAACCATTATTTTTGGTAACAAGATACCCATATTTACTATTAAAGTGCTGGCTACATTCATTGGTGAGGGACTTCAATAAAATATTTAAGGAAACTATTCAACTGTAGCAACTCTGCAGGTATTTGGGGCAATAGCACCCAACAGAAATGTGTCACTTACATAAAACAACCAAGTAGCAATTCTGTTGCCTGTTCCCAGTTCCTTAAAGGCATCTGGCTCATCTTTCTGTGAATAAAAGCAAGCAGCTTTAATGAGCATTTCCTTTTGATTACCAAGAGGAGGCAGAGCCACAGCTGCCGCACCAGCAGCAGACACACTCATGCAGACAAAGAGATTGATTCCCTCTATTTGGAAGGTGCACAAGCGTGCCTACAAATTCAAGTGCAGCAGACACTGCAGAAGGCAACAGGACAGGGAAGGCAGGAGCCATGCAGCGAATGGTCAAGAACAACATAGTTGTTTGATAATTAGTACTCTGAGCCCCTTCATGGCTACGGAGTTAATGGTTTAGTTGTGCACTCATCCCGCCCGGGTACGGGTCAAGAAGGCTCGCTGGGCCTCGTGCCAGGGCCGAGCTCTCCCAGGAGGGCTCCCCTTTCCTGCTGCTGGCCCCGGTGGCGCAGCCTGAGCTTTGGGCTGGCCTCATTCTATGCCTGTCACTGGCGCACGCACCTGCATGCTCTGCTAAAAGCCACTCATTAAACAGCGCCCACAGCAGCTACTCAAGCTCTTTTAATTCCCTGTGACTTGGTTATGAGACTAAATTCCAGTCACATCATCTTTTTATGTTCAGAGCCCACCCACTGTGGCCACTATTAGTGTTCTAGTTTTAGCCATCTAGTTTTAGCCATCATCACTCTCGAAATTAACGCATGCATTTCAACCCTAAATCTGTTAATCATTTGCAATGCCTTGGAGCATGTGCTTGAAGAGCAGAGGTTCTAATTAATAGTTGGTGGATTAAGGTTAATTGGAAGGTGGTAAGTCACACATAAGGGTGCCCAATAAATAACCAACTGAATTCAGGGGCATTATTTCCAGCGCTCTGAGGTGTAAGCTGGAACAGAAGCAGGTTAGGACTTTAAATAAACTAAACCAAGCGAGGATGGAGGAGGAGGTCTTAGCAGGCCTCAGCAGTTCCCGGAGGCTGTTAGCAATGAGCASGCAGAGGTCAGCACAGCGGTTACAGTTTCAGATGTCCTCAGTGGGGAAGGTGTCTCTGTCCCAGCCTGAGGGACAAGGTTCTGGCCACATGGTGTGGTAGCTGGCAGGGCRAGCAACACTGTGCTGCCCGTGACGYCCTCACGTGCTTAAACCAAATSGGCTTTTCCTGGCCAGCGAAAGTATTTCTAAATGTTTTTCTAGTTTTGGAATGGAGCTAATGGCTTTTGCTCTGTTGAGCAGACTCAGTCCTCTGCTTAGAGATAGCTCGGGAAGTTAACTTGTTGCTCTGTGCAATGCCTCTCATTTATGGGTTCAGCTGGTGCTTTAGAGGGCTTTCTCCGCTAACACAGATTAGAGAAGCTGAAGGACTACAAGGTGTAATATAAGGAGTAACAGTGGTGCCACAGCCCAGAGGTGTCACCAGCTCACTATCTCTCCTCCATTTCTTTACTTGCCCGTGCAAAGTCAAAGTGGGGCTCATACTGTCCTCCCACTCCATAATTTGCCACCTGAAAAAGAGAAACACAACGCGTGTGAAGAAGAAAGGGAACAAGACAGAAAATAGGACTTACCCTTCCAAAATCAAAATGAGGCTCATACTGGCCTCCTACGCCGTAGTTGGCTACCTACAGTGGAAGGAGAAGCACAAACATCTAGTAAAGCCGTAGTTTCTCTAGACAAGCAGGGGGAAGAATCTGACACGCACAACGTGTAACCTTTGAACAGATCAAGTTCAGAGGAAATCACAAGCCCCTGTCAACTAAGCCAAGTCCTGCTGGATTTAGTCACCAATAGCTCCCATTTCATCGAGATTCCTCCTCAGTTTAGAGCCATTTCCATCCCTGAGCTACCTTTCTTCCCGATATCTTAGGAACCGATGCAGTTCAAGACTCCTGAAGAGCCGGCCAGTCCTGGGGCCCTCAGCCATAGGCACAGCCACACACCCAAGATCCRTCCTGTGAGCTGTTGTTTCCCTGCTGCTTTGGCTGTGTCTTGCTCCAGGTAAGGACTCCCAGAGCAGCCCCAGCTGTTCCTGCATCCCGCTCTGCCCAACAGCCTTCCTACAGCCACCACAAGGGACACAGCCCCATCACTGATGCCCTCGGTTGTTCTCTCAAGGGGTGCACACCCCTCTGCTCTGGGCTGCTGGTACCACGCAAACCTTTGGAGCGTTTCTGCTTGTAATGGCTCACATGGTTTTATACCAGCATGTTCCCACCCTCCTTCGTGTCCAAGAATAAAGCGTTCCTAAAAAACCTCAAGGACTTTGCTCTTCAACATGAGTCACGGCCCTTCTACATTCTCCATTCAATTCTGGGTCACTTTTTCATCTTCACATCCATCAATACTCAAAATCAGCAAAGCAGCAGTCTAGCTGTTCACTTAGATATACGCTTACATATTTTGTGTGCATACACACACACACACACACACACACACACATTTACACATTTAAAAACACTTTTAAAACAAGGCTCCTTTGAGCTGCCTCGCTAGCTGTGCCGGGGGGTCCGTGCTGCGCACACTGTCACCCAGAACAGAAGGGCCGTGGCCGTCACGCCCGGCACGGTGCTTACCTGCAGTTCCTCGGCTGTGGAGACATCAAGGCCTGTTAGGTCCTGTATCCTCGTGTTAATGCGAGACACCACGGGGCTTTCATAGCCTGACAACCAAGCACTACATTAAAAAGGAAAAATAAAATTAGTACAAAATATATCATAACAGGCAACAAGGTACCACTACAGACACATTGCTCAGAATTGCTTCTCATTTGAGACTTTTCCTCAACTTTTAGGGAAAAAAAAAAAGGTAGGTCAGAAGTATTTTCAGAATTCTTACTGAGAAGTGCATTTAATAAGTTGTATTTTCTACAATAAATACATGTAGCACCACTTTAAGAAAGCCCCAAACTTAAGGGCCCAACTTGGCACRCTGGAAACTATCAAATGCCTGAAAAAAGCCACCTCATCCTTGAGCAAAGCGGGTGTCAGTGCACATGGTGACATTTGGTCCAAGCGCTTGGCTCACGCCAGGACACGGCAGCTTTGCTGCCGACGCAGCTGCAGTGCTTAGGATGGGGCAGGCGCCTCCCGCCAGGGCCCAGGGCTGCCGTGCTCGGCACTGGGCTCTCCCGCGTCACCTCGCGTGGGTGGTTGTGCCCCGTGAGCTGGCAGGTGCCTTCGCTGACCCRCCTGCAGTGCTCAACAGCATCAAGGGAGACAAGCAAGGCAGAAACCCTCCACTATCTACCCTGTGCACATGCTGTGCCAAAACAGCCTACTCTAAGGCTTGGGGATTTAAAATGTGTTTCGGGTAAGCAATGTTGTTTTCCTTTTAAAAACAAAATCATTATGCTCACAGGATTCTTTCTTTCTTTCCCCCCCTCGCTCCAGGCACCTGGTCTCATGTCACCACTTCCTTTCTGTGTGCACGCGCCCACCTKCCCTGCTCAGCTCCGTGCAGCCTGGCAGTGTGTCTGCCACGCTTGATAACAGCAGTGACTTTCGCCTGTTTTTCCCTTTCTGCAGAGGGCTGGAGGCTGCTGCTYCTGCCTTGGCCCTTGAGCTGCTTCTGCCTTCTGCCTTGAGCCTTGGTCCTGCACTCGCCAGCGCATCCTGCTGCTTTACAGCACTCTTCCACGAACACACCTGGCCTCAGAGCTCAGCAGGCAAGTGCAGCCCGGTATTGCTGCTCACTTTGATAGTGCTATCAAATTCCTTTTTTTTTTTTTAAACATAGTTCTTAATAAAAAAAGAAAAAAAAATAAAGGGACACTTTGCATGGGAGGAGCAGTAGCACGACACTTGACACAAGGCACTGACACAGGTTACAGAATCTCTACGAGCAGGGATTTTTTTTTTTTTTAATGACAAATAGGCTCTACACAAAAGGACTAAAACTGCCCAGGCCAAACTCGTGCAAACACAGCCAAAGAGCCACAGGCAAAGAGCTCTTAAGCACGGTTAGTGCAGGAGGATGTTCAGCACARCCCGCCTAGGCAGGAGAAGGCAAGAGAGCAGGTCCTGCAAAGCACTTCCCAGCCGAACAGCAGCCCGCATCCTGTTGCATTTTTGACTTATTTCATGGCGAAGCCAAACACACGTAAGCTTCAACGTCTTTGCTAACAAGAGGATTTGACATTTCTTCACAACCTCCCACATCACAGCCAAAACCGCCATAGACAACAATGCACCAAGACAGCCGTGAGCCACACTAGCATTTTATAGAAACAGAAAGAATTCAAGCACTGAGAACACATGGTGGGGTTTCTTTTTCCCTCCTCACATGAAGACCTGGCAGCAAGTTCMGTACAAGCAGCTGGGCTTTTCCTTTTTAAAAAGCATCAGCTSCCTTCTTAAAACTCTGCATCAGAGATCCCGTTTGAAGTTTTAATAGCACAGGGCTCATGAACAAAGAGCCATGTGTAGGAATAATTTTATACTAACTAGATTATCTGGAAAAAACAGACAACCACAGGACACCCATGGGCTCGCATGCCTGAAGCTGGTCTCAAACACAGGACAGGTCCCTTCATCACAGCTCCACCGTGCTGTTGGTCACGGGAACTAGAGCCCTGCATATTGAAACCTTCTAAAGTATATTTAGTTGTTAAAAGAATTAGCAGAGCGGCTGGACAAGCAGCCGGGCTGGTACTGACACAGTGGAAACTCGAAGGCGCTGCGTTGCCAGCTGCTCCTCGGAGCACCCGGCCACGTTCAGCCTGACTCTGTGCTCGGCAGTGGCTCCTCGTCCTGCTGGCAGGGTGCCCCTTTCAGAGAGGCTGCCACGTACTGCGCAGGGAACAGTCGCGCTCTCAGAGCGAGCAGCGCTGCCATTTAGACGTGCATGTGCTAGGAAAGAATGTTGGCAGGGCGAAGCAGTAAGCTATAAAGAAAATACAGCATTTTTGGTTTTCAGGAGCAGTGATTCATCTGGAATCCAAACCAGCTCTAGCAGTTCGCAGGGCTTCTGTAAGAGACCTCTGTGGTCTTGCATGAATAACGTGATTTTTCTGAGGCCGTCTGCCCTGCACTTTGGGTTTTTCTTAGGGTGAGATTTATTTCCCATCACTATTTTAGCCGTGTCCTGAACAATCAGTACATGCAGGACCACACGGCAAAGTAGAGGCACAGGAAGAGCCTTCCCTTCTCCCAGTTCTGTGGCAATCCCCTTGCTCAAGATAGTTCCCTCCCTCACTCCTCAGCAGCTTCTCACACCTGCTGACTTGCACGCCCAGTTCTGGTTTCCAGTGAGATAAAGGAACCCTCGGCCCAGCACAGCCTACGTTCTGGACRGAATCCTGACCTTTAGAGCACCAGGGCCGGCCAGTTTAAGCAGTTTTAAGGCTCTTACTCTGGMGAACGAGACACCAGGCTTCATGGCAGGCTCGCAGCACCCCACCTGCTGCGAGCGCTCCTGTACTTGATACACAGATGCTCGGCCAGGCCAAGCCCATAGCTGGGTCCCGAGAGATTCCCTGCTTCCAAGGAGGAGGATTTTTTTTTTTTTTTTTTTTTTTGACAGGTCTCTCCGGTGGCCAATGGGGCTGGCAAACAGCCCGAGCTGCACTGATCCCTGGGGGAAGTGCTGGGAACATGGAGCATTATGTACTCCTTTATCTGACTGGCATTTGAAATGGATGCAGGCGACATAATCCAATTCACAACGTTTCGTATTAAAGCAGCAACTGCTGTCAGTCCTTGAGTGTTACTGGGGCTCCCAGCTAGCAGTAACTTGCACTCTGCGCAGGGATTATAGCAGCCCACAGTGCTCATATGGACACCAAGCCCTGACTGTTAGTGCAAGCAGAGCCCTTCACTCCAACATTTAGTAGAGTAGCTGCATCCAACAGGCCATGCTGAGCAAAAGCAAGAGCTTCCATTTCAGACAGAAAACAGTTAACACCTAAAAGCAGTTCCTGGTGCAGCAGAGCGCTCGCGTTACGGAGCTGGTTTGCTCCGCTGCAGCCGCCCTCTCCTCTGCAGAGGCAGAGCCCCTCGTTTGCGCCGTGAGCGGTGAAGTGGTGCCGGGGCGGTCGAAGTCGCTCCCTTACCTCTTAGAGACTCTGTAATGGGCTGTGGTCAGTTTCCCAGTCTCAGGGTCATGCACAGTAGCTCGGCTCAGCTACGAAAAGAGAAAGGACAAGGGCTTACCCACCTCGTAGGCCAAGCCAAGGTGTTTGAAAGGGTTCCGATTGGTCTGGATGGTGCGCAGCGCTCCCAGATTAGCAATATTAGAAGGGCAACAGAAGCTGTAGCTGCCGTTTCCAAATCAAAGTCAATTGGGTGGAAAAATTTGGTTAGATTGTCCTTTCACTTTTTTTTTTTTCCTTTTTTTCCCTTTCTTGTTTTTTTTTTTCTGCTTTTTAGAGACTTTCTGCAAATAGATCATGGTGCTGAGTTTCACAGACAATTCCTCTTCATGCAGAAGTTCCACTTTATTGAAAATTTTGCCTTCATCAAACCCTAATCAGCACTACCAAAATCGCAGGGCGGGGGGAAGGAAGAGCTTCTTTCCAAGCCAGCCAGACTTTCTCCTGCAGCACAGTGTGCAGAACAGCAGCCAAATGCCAGATYTGCAGCACTTCGCCAGCCACCTGCACAGACCCAGGAGCCCAGTGGAAAGGAAGTCTGCTTCCTGCCAGATCTGCATCGGCAGGAGGCACAAGCCCACGGAGCGCTAAGGAGTTATCCTGGAGCATGGAATTCAGCACGTGCTTTGCCTGCCCATCCAGCGGGACAGCCACTCGAGGTGCCTCCCACACAGGGAAAGGCCCTTCAGGAGGCAGGAGGACTTGCTTTCCTTGATGGTGACAGCAAGGGAAAGGGAATTTTAGAGAGGTGGGTTCTGCTGAAGGTTTAGTCCCTGTGGGTGCCTGGTACATTGAATGCATCGAAGAGACCTGCTCCTTGTGAGGCCTGCTAACTGAGAACACTCCCTGAGAAGGTGACTTTGTTTTGGTCAAACCACAACTCCCAAACTTGCAGCTGAAGGAAGAGCCTGAGAAACTCAGCAGTAACAGCCTGTTACAGGATCTGCGTACAGTGAGGTGGTGGACTGCAAAGCCAAAGCTGCCTTTTTAGACCACCTCTTTCCCCATTACGAGCAGGATCCACACACTCATTAGAGGCCCGAGACGTCGGGCACCGAGCTCTCTTACCTTTTGCTAATTCTGTAATGTGCCGTCTCCAAGGCTCCTGTTATGGGGTTTGAAATGGTAGCTCGCCTCAGCTGTGAAGCGAACCATCAGAATAGTTGCATTACAAAGCACATAGGGCATCGCAGCAATCCGACCATTCAGAAGCCTCCRGAAACGCCACACGAGCTGCCGCGCGAGCCGCCCAGTCACCTTCCCAGGTGGTGCCTCTTGTAAGGGGGGCAAACAAATCACAAGCCTCCATGGGTAGGAAGGGGAAGTCGCCAATTTTACTAGAAGTTTTAACAGCATCCGAGAGGAAATTGAGTTTTCCAGAAGTAACATTTCCATTTCTGGAGCAAGAAGAAAACCTAGAAACTTCCATTTGCTCTCTAGGTACACGGCAGCCGTGGGACAGGACACCTGTACAACTGGCCCTTTGTTAACAGTTTCGCTGTCGCGGCGCCTCCAGGCCTTGCCCTTCCCCATCGCTCCACCGTTACGGGACATCGCTCCAGCTCGGGTGACATCCCAGGATACTTCTGAGGGGGTTATATAAAAATTATCTTGGCAAGTTCAGAAGTTTGGATCTGCTAYGTGTTCATATATTATGCAGTTATCCTGTTTTCAGCACTGAGGTTTATTTCTGTTCCATTTAGGAATATTCCAGAGACGTAAGGCCAGGGCTTTCCTGCAGCAGCAAGGGGGTTTAAGCGTCAAACCACTGGGSTTCTAGCTCGCAGATCCGCCACACAGAGATATTTTGGGGTAGGTGAATTCTTCAAACTTTCTCATGGTTCAAAATGTAACTTCATAAACACAACGCACCAACAAACACTCACCTTTGTCTGCCTACTTCTCGGGGCTGTGACCTAGGACAGCCTCACGATTGATGTGCCCACATTTAACACACATCTGTTAACAATTCATTCTATCTTTAATGTACATATTTTAATCTACACCTGTTTGGCTTTCTCTGCGCTGAGTCATATAGGCTAAAACCAAAGGAAACGGCAGGGAAATGGTTTATACAAGTTCCAGTATTATTTTTAGAAGTGGCAACTGATATATAAATCAACTTGTSTGTATCTTAAATGCACATTGGGAGCTGCACCATCAAACCATTTGGATACAGAAGGCAAGTCAGTCTGTTTTTTGKKTTTTTTTTTCCCCCCCCTTGACACCTCTGTTACATTCTCGCCATTGAGCTGTATTATTTTTAGTTCAGAAACATGAACCTTTAAATCTGATTTCTCAAATGCAAAGATTGGTAAGTCAAAATTGTGAATGAGCAGCTGAGTGCCAGTGATTAAGTACGGCCTTGCTACAGCTTTTTCCACTCTCAGGTAACTTCAAACCAAAAAACTTTGCAAAGCCTGGGAGCAGGTCAAGTTTGTACGGAACGGAGAAAACTACCGTTTAACACGCTCGCTCACACTCGCCACTGCACAGAGAATTCCAGACTGCAAAAGGCCAAGAAGTTCAAGGCATTTACCCTGGGCTTCGCGAGCTCCTTCACAGTTTCGATCTCTTCGTCGGAGATGATGTCAAGGAACCGAACGATTCGGGGCTTGTCCCACTCATCTTCCTGCTTGACAGGACCCAGGATGTAGCGGGGGTTCCTGTTTCCATCGTAGTAGCGGCAGAAGAGTCTTTTTTGCCTCCGTGGGGTCTGAAAGCAGAACAGAGCAAGAGATAATGAGATGTCTGGATAACATTAACATCTCTACAGAATGTTAAATCAAATGGCTGGAGGTCAAGATATGGGAACAATTCCCTTTAACGTTTGTGTTACTGGTCAAAGAGAGTTTGAGAAATCAGTCCTTTAAGCAAATGACCTGTAATGGTGCAACAAGCAGTAATCAGCTATGCATGCACCTACCTGCAGAAAGTTCTATCAAATAAAACTGATCTTGCTGCTGAAGGAAAAAAACAAACTCACTTAATATCCCCCGTAAATGCCCACTGCAACCCACTTGCTCAGGTAACTGCAGTTGCTGAGCACATTCCCTGGCTCGCTYGGACCCCAGCAGTGTCCATGGAGGTATTTTTTTCGTTACTGGACAGGATGAAGCAGGGAGGGAATCCAGCACACACTAATCCTCAGCACTAGACACTCAGCCAGGTGCTATGGCAGCTTCCTTGCTTCCCAGCTGCAAACAGACTCTGACAATGCTTGGTTATGTTGCTTTTGTACATTTGAAAACAGTCGGCTGTTTTAGTCCACTTTACCATTTTGAGCCCCTCCCCACGGCACAGCATTTCGTACTTCCTTCTCTCAGGCAGGTAATCCTTTTTCTTAACTTCAGTTTCCTTCTCCGCCTGGTCTTCCGATTCGGTACTAGATTTATTGGCTTCTTTTTCTTTAGCCATGATATATTCAAAATACTTCATGTTCCCGTTTGCTCTTTGATGTTCAGGATCTATTGACAAAGAAAGGGACAAGAAGCCCAGGCAAGTTAACAGCTTGCAAAGAAGTAAATAGGAGAGGCTATTCCCAACCAGGAAAATACTTAGAGAAAATATATAGGGAAAGACATAGACTGTGGTCATTCCAGTGACAAGTGGTGGAATGGGAACTGACAGGAAGAGCTGGGACACCCAACAATGGCTCTGATGGGAGTCAAGATTGCTGGGCACAAGACTTCTAGCAGTTACTTACACAATTTGTTTTGTAGTAAAGGGCTCTCACAAGCCATTGCTGTAAAACAATTAGATTTGTTTCTAAACTTCCCAGGCCATCTTCCAGACAGTGGAATATTTACAGAAATACAAATGCATTTGATACTCTATTAGATGGACCAAACTTTTGCTCATTGCATTGCATTCTGTATTTCTTACTTATCCTCCCTTTTTTTTTTTTTTCCTTCAGTTGAGGTGTAATCACTTTGCATCTCAATACATATTTACAGAGAATCAGGTATTTTCAACTTAGTTTCAAATTTCGTTTTTTCCTAGCCTATTCTACAGTTCAGGAAATAGAGTAGAAAACCCAATTTCAGGCACTGATGACTAACTCATTAGAATTTGATAGCGACAGGAGGCAAAAAATACTTGAACAGAAGGGAGCAATCATTAATTAGGACACTGTAGTTTAGGCTATAATTGACTGTTTCAAATGGTAGCAAAATGTGATATATGGTAAGTAGTGTAAGCCTGCAGACAACACCAAGATAGTAACCATATCCTATATCAGTATAAAAATACTCACATAAAATATTAGTATCAGTAATAATAAAAAAAAAAAAAAAAGTGCAAATCAGAATGCAAGGCCAGCATTCCTGTGTGCAACTCGGCAGCTAAAACCTGCTGGATCCCAGGGGTGGGGATCTCTGCACGTACCCAGCTCAAGGAGACGCTTGGTGAGCATCACGGCCTTGCTCAGATCCCCTTGCTGGTACACGGCGTAGCTCAGGTAGTCTAAGATGTAGACCTTGTCCGCAGAAGAGACCTCGCCCTCGTCCAGCTGCTTCAGAGCTTGCTCCATCCACAGCTCCGTGTGGTAGTAGTCGGCCTCAGTATAGGCGATYTTCCCCAGCTCGAAGCAGTCTTCAGCTGTTAGGAATGACTTGTGCTTTACACCTGTTTTGAAGGGGGAAAAAAACAGCAGATTTGACACAGAAATCTGGACAGACCTTCACAGCAATATTCATTTAATCCCTAGGCAGCACAGCACAGCTTCTTTCTGCTCAGGTTGCACTCTTAAGCATCTGCCTTCCGTGCAGACTAGCTAYTGCAGCCCCTGTTCAGGTATACCAAGCCTGTAAATCCCATGGCAGAACAAAGAAGTTGTTACACATAGTTTTCCATTGTTAAAATGCCAGCAAACAGTTTCAATGTCTTTATTTCCTTAATCATAAACAAACAAAAAAGAGAAATTCCCTCTCCCCAAATCACAAACACTTTGAGCAGGAACAAGAGTGACCCCAATACAAAGCAAGGGATATCAGTCTGCATACATTTTGCCTTCAAAGTGCTGCTAAGGAACATCTTACTAGGAACTACTTAGTGGGGAAAAAAAATGAAGCAGCAGTCAATAAAAGCCCAGCTGTTGAAGCCTGTGGAGTAAATCATTTTTAGAAGCATGTGAAAGGTCTTCTGAGATTAAAGCTCTAGTAAGCAAATTACAGATTCCCATTTTTGCCACTATAAATTAAGATCCACTGGAAAAAAAGAAAAAAACAAATTTAATTTTGTAAGAAGGAACCAAAATATCTATGAGGTAATGAAAAGGGAAACTCAGGCACAGCGGCAATTTTTCTTCTTGCCCACAATTCTGCCAGGTTTACAGCTACAGGGTTATATTCCTAACTACTTAATTAATCCTCAATTTCTAACACCAGCTCCCATAGCTGTCTTTTAGCAGACGTAATTTTCTATTAAAGGCAAGCCTTAATAGATTAACTAGCTGAATGAAGGGCCACAAAAAAGGAGTATCCCACAGAACAGCTTTGTTTCTGCTCATTAATTAAACACTTGGTGATGTTCCCTTTGTATTCACATTTTTGAAGCTGAGGATACCAGCAGACTCTGGGATAATACAAAGACCAGATAACCTGGTGAAGTGATGGTGAAGAGGGGCACAGACAAACGGATCCCCTGGGATGAGTAATGACTGCAGGAGTAGCTTAGTGACTGTAGATGAAAAGAAATCTTAAAAGAGTGCTTAAAACAGCAATAATCAAACAGCACTGCTAAGTGACATAAAGAAACAACATAACCTGTAATGGGGGATGTCAGAAATAGTAAAGCAGCAATAATAAGCAATGCAGCAGTAAAAGTGGTACCTTCCAACACGAAAGGAGTGTGCCTCTCCTTCCCACAATCTGTTCAAGCTTCTCTCTGGTAAAGCCACCTAAGCGCAGGTGTTTGGTACGTGCACCATATGTTTTTCCTCCCAGTTTATACTACAACACTTAAGCCACTTAACATGTTACATTTCCCAACCCAAGGGTCCCTGAATGGCAGGAGGCAATGAATGATAAATGAAAGACGGCACGCGAGCAACAGAAAGCCCAGCATGCAGCCAAGCTAAGAAACGATTCTGCAAGAGGACAAGGGCAAGAACAGACCTGACAACATGCCAAGGTCTCCCTGGGTTCCTCTGTGCCACGCCAGTCTGAAGCAACAGGCTCTCTCCTGACTCGTGGCAGGGTTAAAAATTACACCCACGTCAGCCTGTACTCGGTCACCTACACCATGCCACTTCTCATAAATTATTAGCCAACTCAAACACTTTCCTATTGTTACCTGCACTGTACACAATTAAATGACAGGAAAAGTCGTCAAAGACTTTGTGGTCAGGACGTTTAGCAAGTTCACAAGTGTCTTCAGAAAATAAGGCAGATGGTCCTTACCTGGCAGATTGCCCCTGGAGAGGGTGTCTGTGTCCAAATTGTACGTGTCCTGGAGCCGCAGGAGAGCTTTCGCGGCACCAGTCTGATCCTCATCATTTGGGAAAAACTGCCGTTGGATAGTCATGTTGGATATAAAACCTGAGGAAAACAGAAAACATTTGGGAAATTTTTGTCCTAAGGAGTATAAGAACATTATGTGAGAAATGATTCTCTACTCTAAAAATAAATAAATAAATGTTTACATATAACAAAAACATTACCACTACACAGAGAACACTGTGCTGAATTCTGTGATGATGACTTCTGTAATTGTTCTACTCCAGCTTTCTTCCAAAAGGTTTTCCATTCAATAACGTGCAAATAATTTAGGATGCAACAAAACAATCACTAAGGAATAACAGTGCAAAGATCCAAGGCTGGTCAATATGAAAATAAATGCAGTCATCTACCCTCAAAGTGCTTTTGTGAGGTCTGCTAGTGCTAGGAACCTAATAGATTTTTGGACTCGGACATTAACATATTTACACACAAAGTTGAGAAACATCCGAAATTAGACAGGTTTCTCAAAAGACCTGCTCATTTTCACAAACCTCAAAATCGACACAGACATACATTTGGAACTGCTGGCATTTCAACTGTTTTCAGAAAAGACAGCAGAGGAACAACAAAAGGAAAACCTAGTGGATCTGTTTGCTTGCATTTGCTTTTCACAGGAGCGTTAGGGTGAAATTTGGAGAAGACGACAACAAGAAGGCTCTACATAGTAGAACAACGTTCTCTCTGGGAATCGCTCACCGCTTGTTAGCCTGCATGTAAACATCTCTTGTGAAATCCCACAGCATTTGAGTCGATTGCAGATCCCAAAAGCATCTAAAGGTCCACAATTTCCCCCAATTTACTGAGATTCCCTCCAAGCCTAAGAACCTTCTTTCCCTTTTAGAATTTCAAAAAAATCCAGTATCAATACTCAGCCTTTCTTTGTCAGACTGATGAGAAAAGAGATCACCCTCTTCTCCACAAGGAAGAAGCTTAGGAGCCGTTTACGCTGACTGATGAGGTAGAGAGCTCTGCCGCACCAGGAGGTCACTGGGAAGAAGGCAAAACAAGTGTCCTCATGCAAGGAGGTAGCACAAGAGTTGGCCAAGGGGAAAAGTTACTTCTGTGAAAGTGTCTGGCAAGCGAAGTTTGCCAAAACAAAAGAGTTTGTCTTGACAAACTCTTTTATCCTGAGATTTAGATGTACAATAGGCTTTAAAACTTTACCATTCTAAGAGTGGTACCACTAAGATGTCTATCAAGTGCTTCTAATATCCGCCAGTTTGAAAACTAAGCGGCATAATCAAAACCAAACAAACATAGCTCCAAGCAACAAAAGGGTAATACACTGAACTTAGCTGCAAAGCCACTAAAAACAAAAACAAGACCTGGCTGAATCTGTCATTTCTGACACATTTAATAGACCTCTTTAACCACTCTGACCTCATAACAGTTTTGGTTTTATTTTTAAGCGGGAAACCTTGCCATAAACAATCTTCTTCCACTCCTATGCATCCTTTCCTTTTCAGKATTATGTTTCTTTTTCTTTTTTTTCCTTTTCCTGACAATTTTCATAGAATGGTCTTCTAAGAAACAAAAATCAGAAGGGCTTAAGATCCATTGGTAAGAAGGTRAAGATCCTTTTCAGCAAGAATCTTCAGTCTCCCACAGCAATAACTGTGAAGCTCAACGTCCAGAATTCTTATTAGAAAGTCTCCATCCCTGTTTGCTTTTCTTTCTTTCCCATCTGAAAGCTCTGCTTGCTTCCTTTTCTAACTACAAACCTGCACCTGGTATCAGTTGTTGACATGGATTCTTACAGATCAAACAATTGTCCAAAATTCCTGGCTGCTGAAAGGCACTTCCATAGTCAGCTGCTGTTTCACGTCCTCTTTGATAGCAAAGGATTTCCCCTCTTGCTGAGGGAAAAAGGCAGCGAGTGCAGCTAGCGCTAACTCCTATCAGTTTCCTAAAGCCTCAGGCTCTGCCAACAYTCGGGTTTCACACCGCTGCACCCTAACAAGCCCAGGCAGCCGTAACACCAGCAGCCACAGCACTCGGCCCTTCGGACGCCTTGCACTTGGAAAGCAATTTTTATTCCACCCCATTTCTGCTTTTAACTTAAGTCAAGGGTTTCAAAGAAGTTTGACAGCGATGCTTTCACAAAAATAACTTTATTTTTCAGGCTGAAAATAGATATTACTTTAGAGATAAAAATTTAGAGGTAAAACTCTCCAATAGACTATATTATAGGGAACTGAAGAACAGATGAAGCACCTTGATCTCTTGCAAGATTTAAAGTGTCCATTAAGGTGACTCACTCTAAACATCACAGTTTGGTGGATTTTTTTTTAGTGCTAAAACTACAGTATTTAGCAAAGCAGCAAATATTTTAAGGGTGTTTGTGTGCTTTAATGAAGGCACCTTAAAAACAGGCTAGTTAAAAAGGTTAGTTCAGCCTGTGACATGTGAAAAATCTAAGCCAAAATAAGTGCATTTACAATATAACCACTGCTTTTACAGCAAGCATACTTACCATCCGACATATCCTTCAGAACCAGGTTCTCCAGCTCACCCCACTCCGTGTTAAGCCTTTTCATCAACTTGAAGGCATTTACAGGATGTCCCAAAAATCCTTCAGGGTCTTTTGTAGCCGTGTCCGTCAGCTTATCTAATTTCTCTGCCCATCTGTGGTGAAAAGATGCACTAATTATAGTTTCATTTAGAAGTCTTCCACTGTACTACAGAACTACTCAACACTTGGCTAGAAAAAAATCCCAATACAAAAGTGCAGGCTTTCATAATATCTTATGTGCAAAACTGTTCCAGAAGAAACAAAAGTCTATTTTTGTTTTTGAAAAAGCCCTCAACTGCAACCTGTGTTTGAAACTAGCGTGGCTCTTGCTGGAACACTGCAGAAAAAACTCCTTCCTACAACCATCAAATGCAGCATGCCAGCAGAACCATGAGTTTTCACGCAGGACTAATCAAACACAAAGCTCTACCCACATTTTTGATCATTTTTAAATGCACTTTTTCTAAAGTTTACACAAAGGTATATCAAAATATGGGACCTGAACTATTTTGAGACACTTTCAAATCTGTTCTAAGTCCCTTGTCTCCTGCCACAGAACTGCCTTTGTATTATAAAGTTGTATTAAAAAGCAAACATAGCTCTTGTGCTCCCCAGTAGGAAGCCCCAGAGAATCCTGTGATACTCCAGCTCTGACCTGGCAAACTCCCCTGCTCTTCCAGCGACACGAGCCATTCACAGCTCCCATTCTTGCTACTTGAGCAGGGGCATTGGACCAGATGATCTCTCAAGGTCCCTTCCAATCTCAACCATTCTGTGACTGTGTGAAATAAGCACATTTTTCAACAGCTACTGCTGTTCATCTGCCTATCGTGCTAGTAGAAGTGCCCCAAGTATTTGAGTTGCAAGTCGGTCATGCCAAAAACAGCAGCACTTTGCTACGCTTGATAAACAGCCAAGCTACCCACCCTAGCCAAGGCGGTGTAGATCCAGAACGTAAAGACATACAGCAACACTCTGCAAACAACCTAAATGTTAAAAAAGCCACGCTCTAGAGAGAACATTAGGCAGCAATATCAACATAAAGCCAATACAGAACCTATAGCCTACAGGGGACTCTATATGTGGGCTGGCAACCAGCTTGCTCCAAAACTTGGTATGCCCAAATTAAGTTTGCATACTTGACCCAAAGCAGGTAARTGTTTATTTTCCCAACTGTTAAATGCACCACTGTTTGTATTCAATATTCCCACACACTTATTAACTGTTCCCCTTCCCTCTGACAGCCCTAAGTCCATGGTTCCTGTCCACAACAAAGGGATGGGTAGTGTCACGTCCAGGAGTCAACAACATCTGAAGCAAAGGGCTCTAAGTGCTCCCATGGAACAATTCCAGCTTCTAATCAGCTGGACAGTGAAGAAATTAATTTCAAGAAATCTAATTAAATTAATTTTCAAGAAATCAACTGCACATTTCCCAGGGTATGACTATCAAACCTAGTGAGTACCTTAACTTAYTGCTGCTGTAACCCACGACCACAAGACCTAGATTAGTTTTGGGTTGATTCTGAAGCCCTCTTCCTCATCTCAGAAAATTTTCAACTTTGAGTTTAAGTCGACAGAAATAACCAGTATCTTTCAGCTAAAGAGGTCTCAAAAGAGCCTGAGACTTTTTTCTCAGCTTCTTCCATCTCTGTGACARTTATTTTAAGTTTTTTCTTGTCCTGACAGTGACACCTGTAATATAATAAATTCACAGCAATGAAACTTCTATGATAAATTTTTATGTTGTCCAGTCTGCATGCTCTCACCTTAATTTATGGCTATAAAAAGGAAACTCCTAACTTTCCAAACCTGCGAGCAATTCCAACTCATGTATTTCACATAAGATGATAAAAATAAACAGCCTGACAAAAGCATTTTTCTCCCTAGGTGGCTTGCAAAATTAGATCCCAGAATGTAAGCCACAAAAATTAAATTCACACATCCATCAAACGTTTTAGACATCCTTATGACAGTTTTATACACACTACTGAAAGACAGGAATGCATTCAGTGAAACAAAAATCTTATTTCTAGTTCTATAGAACTATAGAGCTGAGCAAAATAGTAACTACGGTGGTCAGGGCTCTTAGGATTTTTTTGTTTGTTTGTTTTTAATCAGTAAGTAAGTTATCTTTCTATGGTTTTGCCTTTTGAAGAATTACAAACCAAGAATCCTCACACTGTGGATGTCACACAGAACAGCAGATTGTCAAGATTTCACCATTAGAAAGCTGCACAAAATAAACCACTGGCTTGGAGATAACAATTCGGGACAAAAAAAAAACCTGCTAGTTAATCTTTGCCCTGGAGGCAAAATTCCTCAAATTTACTCAGCCTTGTAAATAGTTTTACATTAAGGGTGGACTCAAGTAATTAACTATTAGCATTATGAAACAAACTGCTTACTTTTTGATCTGCTCCAGCTTACTCTCCTCTGCCTTGATATAATCTTTCAGTGATATGACCAGATCTTTTTCTGTATTAATTAAGTCTGTCATATGACCTAGAAAATAAAGTCAACAGTTTAGTTAGATGGGAAGAAACAAAAATATAGAACCAAAAACCTTCTTTCCACTCTCCTCCCAAAGTGCTTCTGTATTCTAAGATGCCTGAAGGAGCAGTTGAATAAGATTTCCTACTCTTTTTTTTCCTTTTTTCCTTTCTTTTTAAGAGAAAAGCTCATGTTGGACAAAGCTGGTTGCCATGGAAATTTGCACAGTATCACAAATTTATTATTAGAACTAATTTAGGATTCATTTGGAAAAGTACGCAGGTTGCAGCTGAATAATCTTTCATCCAAGCATACATAATGTAAAGCAAATAATGACAAAGCCACAAAAATATACAAAGGCTTCATGCTTGATATACAACATTAGTCCATTTATAAATTTTTAAGATTATTTACACGACTTCAGTTGGTACTGTAGCAGTGTCTCAGTTCATAATTCCTTCATTCCCTACGAGCAGGCAGCTGAGTTGGTTGATTTTGAAGTGATAAAACTTCAGGTCTTCAATGCCTTATGCGGCATTAAAACACCACAGCAGGTACACTGACACACTGGTATCGCTGTGCACCCTTAACAGTTGTTTCTCTTTCCTCTATACATGTCCCGGCTGAAATTTTGTTTAAAATTCAATACCCACAACACATACAAGCCCTCGCCTTTGTCACTGGCCTAACTGGACTGACTTAAGCAGAAGCATGTTTCTCCCAGAAGCAAAAAGTCAAACAAGTCATAAGAACTAATAGGTGGATTTAGTTCTGTGCAGACTACAGCCCTGTGCTCCCGTAGCTTATTCTTGCTGAATGACTTTTAAGAGTTGTAAATAAATTCTTTCAGCTATGTGCAATATATACCAAAGTGTCTCACCRATGGAAGTGAAGAAGTCCGTATGAGCAGAAGAAAAAGGTAGCAGAAATCCAAGGGCTGCAATACACCAAATCTTGGGGAATGCCATAGTTCAACAGCTGTCACAACACCAAGTATCTGTGAAAGAAACAAAGTAGATAAAACTGCTCTATTCAGAGATTGGAATCTACCACTGGAAGCGATAGCCTGTTGTCTCAGAGCTGCCACCAGTTCTCGAGGCGGCCAAATTTTAGTAACCAGAGGTTCAACAACCAGCAATCCATATTGTTTTAATATTTCTACATTTGCTGAGCTTGAGCACTGATGCTCTCACAGAGGACTGACTCCATCCTGCAAAGACATCCCCACCAAGTAAGTATTCTTGCCTTGTGTAACAGGAGAGTGAAGAATAGCTTGGGGACAGGGTCATCACAAGCATTCATCGCTTTTTTGACATCTAAAAAACGCTGTAGGCAGTGCTGTATCACAAAAAAAGTGCCCAAAAGAAAAAAGACTCCTAAAGCCAAATGCTGAAGAAAACCGTAATAACAAGTCGCAATACAAAACATCAAGCTCATCCACCCACTGAAAAAGCAGTAGCCGCTGGCGAGTCAGTGAGATGTGTTGTGGCACAGGTGTGAATGCAGCCCTCAGAACAAGCTGCTTGCTCCTGCTCTTCGGGCAGCGTGTGCGTCTGGAAGTGCACCTTGGTACACAGGGCATTCCACACCGAGGCCACAGCTGCCAAGTTCATAGCCATTCAAGATCCTGAACCTTCCCAACAGCCTAGGATGTCCTCATTAATTCAAGTGTTCTCTGAGGATTCAAATTGCAGTGTCCTCTTCTCTTATGGCACATTAGGAGTCACCAGGCAATCCATGTCTTTCCTTTTCACCTCTAACACTAACAGCAGGAAAAAAACACAGACCTGGATATACTGATGAGTTCACTTTCGCTGGCACTACCAGGAAAAAGGAAGCCCACAGCCACAAGTCCTTACAAACCACCCACAGCCACATGACCAAACCCAAAGGACTGAAGCATTCCAACACACTGAGCAGTAAAAATGAGGAGAGAGAAAGCCAAGTGCTGCTCTTCTCTCCAGTCAGGGCAGAGACCTCCGTGTCCCAAACGCTCTACACCAGCACTGTTGGCCACAGTGGCTTTTGGGAGAAGGCAGTTCACTCACCCCTAGGGCAGCTTGCTTTCACTTTCTACTTAAAGCCGGGCACCTGAGTTCCTTGTAAAACAACTGCTTAGTTTCCTGATTTGCTTTCCAGAAAGCCCAGTGCCCCCTGCTCATTCAGCAACCAAGCAAACACACAAAGAATCAATTGCAACACGTGGCTCTATTACACGATAAATATTTACTAACGTTATCTGTACTTGGAATTCATTGAGGTATATGCTGCACTTCATAAAAAACAAGGAGACTGTCACAGAAGTTATTTCTTAAGGTTTCATTTGGATTAACAAAGTAAGAGGGGAAAAAGAAAAAAAAAAAAAAAGAGCCACTATAAAAAGTTCCTCTGCAAGCTGACCTAGCTACCAAGCTCCCCTAGCTTTAAGTGGGAGGTTAGACCACTCACTTTCATTTCAGACTCCACAGCTCTCCTGACACTTTCAAGGATACAGAAAGCTTCAGCAATTTCCAGCAACTCTCCGACTGCTTCCCTCCCGGCCCTCTGGAATTCAGAGGGCTGGAACAAGAGGCCGAGACTGCGGCCCGCCAAGCTTGCACTGTCCTAACAACAGTTGCTAAGTAGCCTGGTTTTTAAAACTGCTGCAAAAGGACCAGCTCCGGATTCCCAAATCAACAAAAACTAAAGCGCAGTTAATGCAGATGCTGGAAGCCTCTTAGACACACAGGCTGCCAAATAAGTAGGCTTGTTTTTTCTCCATCAGTGACATAAAGGAAATCAAGATGAAAATCYTCTCTATATTCTTCCTCTCAGTCTGACTCTCCTCCTCAATCGTCCCTAACGCAAAGCCAAAGATGGTAGCTGAGCAGTGTAGAGAGGAAGAAATCTACTACCCACACAGGGAAGAAATGATTCTAGTCTCACTTTCAGTGGGAGTCAGGCTGACAGCTTTAAACCAGAAGTTTCCTGACTGTCTACACCGAATATGTTTGCTAAGCTTTGAAACAGTGAAACATAGCCAAGGAAAAAAAATAAAATAGTGAAGAACAACCAAATATGAAACTATATCTCCTATATATAGAGAGATAGATCAGCACAAATAACACAATGCAGTAATTAGAAGAAATAGCATGGGGGGGACAAAAAATAACTTTTCATGTGTTGAAGGCTGAAATTCAAGCCTTTTCCGTAAGTTCCTGTATTGCCTTCATGTTCACTCTGCAAGGGGAATAAGGACTGTGAGATGCATCAGAATGGATGTGCACATAGCATCCGTACCAGCAGAAAGGAAACGCAAAATCAAGACAAACCTCACAAAATAACCACAAAACCAACAAAGTCGCACTAAGAGGTGACTGAAAAAGCAAGTGTTTGTCTGAAAAGGCTTTATATACAGTCCCCAACACTACCAATTCCAAATACCCAGGTGTTTATCAGGACTCAAAGTAAGAAGCTACAGATGGAAAGGAGGAAGTGCACTGGAGTATGGAATTATTCTAGAATAGTTTTAGTTTAATTCAAAAATAGCACTTTTATTTAGGTCAGAAATAAGCGATCTGCTCTAAATTAATGTGGTTGCAGGGTTGATAACCACATCTCCAAGACGCTTGAAGTTTTGATTTAAATACGAGCCAATCCTACTTTATCACTTTTTTTTTTTTTCTTTTTAATAACATAAAGTTAAACAGAGCTAAGTTGGGGAAGGGGCAGGAAGAGGACAACACTACAAACAGTGACAGATTTACTGCAGTGAGCATCTCTAGTGAACAGATTTCATAACAGATTTCAAGTTATTATCATGTGACACCACACACTTGCAAATATCACTCAAAGTGAAATACTCTGGAGATCTGGGGAAGTTCTTAGGGACTGAGAGTAGGTAACTGTCACCACTGCCTAGCAGTCCCTGTGCAGAAACACTGGAACTCAGTTACGCACGTTCTCCAGCACCCTGTGTTTAAAGACTGGTTTTAAGTTAAGACCTGAGCAGTGAGAGAAGAAAGCAGATTTTCTAAGACTGCTGCTAAAACAAGAACATGGGATGCTTCAGGCATCTTTTTAACCTCAGAGTTGCACTGTAAGTACTACTTTCAAGAAGTCTGACTACCTTTAGTGATTTTTTTGGATTTTTTTTTTTTTTACTAGTCACCAGTACCAAGAAAGGACTTAGTGTTCCCTACTTCTATCTGAAAGGGATAGAGAACAGCCAAATTTCTGAGATCTTAATTTTCTCTTCAAATCCTCTCTTTCTGCAGGACAGAAGCAAGAGATAAAAACCAATTTCAGAGACAAAGCAACTAATAAAGGTATTTTAAGTTTCACATATTACCACCTTGAACTGAAAGCAATATTCAAGTGTTCGGCTACAAAACTGGGATGTCTGTCTACAGACTCTTACCTAAAAAAATAAAGCAAGTTTTTCCTTGCTTCTTCCAAGAATGAATGGACACAGTCCTTTCGCAGCCTGCTTGCTGTAACTTCCTAAGCCAAGGCAAAGAACACTGGCACTGAGCACAGCAGTTATTTTACTAGACAAAACAAGCAGAAGGCTACCCTTCTATTTATCCTCTGCTCAAGGATTAGGAGAGTATCTATAGAGATATACAGAATGTTTTCTGATATTAAGAGAGATTATAAAGAAACCAGGAAAATTCCAGTGACCAGCAGCTGAACAACAGCGACAGGTAGGTGTCCCCTGGGGATTTCAGCAACAGCAGAAAGCCTATTCATCTGTTGAGAGGAACAGCAACTTGCTCTGAAGTCTACAGAATAATACAGCCTAGAAATGCATAGCACAAAGGACAATACCTTTATTGTTTCAGCACWGGCTTCATTTACAGTCTTTCTTCAGTTAAATATACTCCATTTAGGAAGTAAGTTTTTCCAACAAGTACACTGTGTTGCTGTGCTTTCAACAGCAAACGAACAAGAAGGTGTTTCTCCATCTGTATTGATCTCACAGTAGAGTTCTCCTCCCATTAATCTTTTCATTCCTTCCATTCCTGAGATTAGTCATTTTATGTCATCTGGGCTTATCAAGCTACACACTGTGTATATTCTGATTTATGTGCGTGGTTCAAAACATTTTTAAAGCCATAATTTAAAATCATTCATTATGCAGCAATTCAAATTTAGAGGTCAGAGATCTTATCTTCACATCAGCTCTACACATTGGTCTCAGTGTATATATTCACTCTGCAGTTCAAGACAAGTTTCTGCAGCTTTTCTCCTGCCTTAGCTGTGTCAACAAAAGGCCCATCACTTGGGGGGCTCCACTCTGAATCAGCAAAGGGAATGAATCTCCATCAAATAGCTATTTCCTACTGGGAGATGAGGCAGCGATACCTCCCCCTCACACTTCCAACACGGATGCTCTGCAATGCCACAAGCAAACACACTATCAAGCGTGAGGAACGCAGACTGGGAACTGCTCAGAACAGAACTGTCACTACATGTGGTTCTTCAAACAGCACTTCTCTTTAGGAGCTAAAGGAATCACATCAAGAACAGACATGTCCCCCAACCACAGCTTAAAGCACAGAATTAACTACTGGTGGAAACCAGCACTGGTTTTGTCAGCATGGAATGAAGCAGCACAATCAAAGGATTTTTAACATGCTTAGGACATTTAAATACATCCAACGGTGATCCAAGAGTAGTAACGGGTGCCGAACAGCATGGCAGACAACGTGTCTTATCCTAAGCAGCAGGCCTCTGCTTCCCAGACAAAGTGGGAAGTCATCACCTYCACTTTCCACCCATGCTGCGTGCATTCTTAAGTTGGTCTTGTAAGAAACTACCTTTAAATAACCGGGAGCTTCTCTCACAGTTACTAAAACCCTGAGCTCGGATCCTTCACCTAGCTGAAGGAGGGGCACACTTAAGCACTCAAGAGCCTCTGCAACTTCTCT